TAATGAATGGATAAAAAAGAGGTGGTATATATATACAGTGGAATATCACTCAGCCATCAAAAAGAATGAAATCTTGCCATTTGCAAAGACATGGATGAATCTAGAGAGTATTTGCTAAGTGAAATAAGTCAGAGAAAGACAAATACTATATGATTTCACTCATACATGGAATTTAAGAAACAAAACAAATGAGCAAAGGAAAAAAGAGGAGAGGCAAACCAAGAAATACTCTTAACTATACAGAACAAGCTGATGGTTACCAGAAGGGGGATGGGTGAGGGATGGGTTAAATAGATGATGAGGATTAAGGAGTGCACTTGTGATGAGCACCAGGTGTTGTATGGAAATGTTGAATCACTATATTGAACACCTGAAACTACCATTACACTGTATGCTAACTAACTGGAATTTAAATAAAAACTTAAAAAAAGATGAGCAGAGGAGTTGAAATGGTATTTTTCCAAAAACATAGAAACAACCAACAGGCACACGATAAAGTGCTCAACATCACTAACCATCATGGAAATGCAAATCAAAACCACAATGCATTATCACCTCAACTTGTTTGAATGACTTTCAACAAAAAAATAAGAGCTAAGTATTGGTGAGGATGTGGAGGAAAGGGAAGCCTTGTGCACTGCTGGTGGGAATGTAAACTGGTGCAGCACCGTGGAAAACAATACAGAGGTTCCTCAAAAAATTAAAAACAGGAGTGCCTGAGTGGCTCAGTGTCTGACTTCAGCTCAGGTCCTGAGATCAAACCCCACACCCAGCTCCTCGTTCAGCAGGGAGTCTGCTTGAGATTCTCTCCCATTCCCTCTGCACCTTCCCCTGCTCACACAAACACTCTCTCTGTAAAATGAATGGATAAATCCTAAAAAAAAAATTAAAAATAGAATTACCATATGACAGAGCAGTCTCACTTCAGGATATATATCCAAAGGAAATGAAAACAGAATCTCAAAGAGGTATCTGCGCTCCCATGTTCACTGCAGCATTACTTACAATAGCCAAGATATGGAAACAACCTGAATGCCCACTGATGGATGACTGGATGAAGAAGATGTGGTATATATATGAATATATACAACAGAATATATTTGCAGATAAGAAAAGGAAATCCTACCATCAACAACATGGATAGGCCTTCAGAACACTGTGCTAAGTGAAATACCCAAAGATAAATACTGTATGTATCACTTTAAATGTAGAATCTTTAAAAAAAGTAAATATAAAAAAATGGTCAAACTCATAGAAATGGAGTAGAAAAGTAGCTGCCAGGACTGGGGGTTGGGAGAAATACAGAAACATTAGTAAAAGGGTACAAACTTTCAGCTACAAGTTCTTAATAAATAAATAAATAAATAAATACAATTCTGGAGACCTAATGTAAAACACGGTGACCTTAGTTGGTAACACTGTATTGTATAATTGAACTTTGCTATGAGAGTAGAATTTAAATGTTCTCACTAAAACAAGTAAATAAATATGTGAATTGTTGGGATGTGTTAATTAACTAGATTGGGGGTGAATCATTAAAAAAAAAAAAAAATTTACCATAAATCCCAGTAAGCCTCTCCTAGGTATATACCCTAAAGAACAGAAAATACATGCCCACACATGTTCATAACAGGATTATATACCCAATAGCTAAAAGATGAAAACAGCCCAAATATTTTTCAGTGGATGAGCTAAGGAAATTGTGATATATACATAAAATGAGAGAGTGTTCTGCCATAAGAAGGAATGAAGTACTGATACAAGCTACAATATGAATGAGCCTCGAAAATAAGCTAAGTGCCACAGCGATTATAATTCTCAATGGAGAAAAACTGAGAGCTTTTCCCTTAAGGTCAGGAACACAGCAAGAATGCCCACTCTCACCACTATTGTTCAACACAGTACTAGAAGTCCTAGCTTTTGTTGTCAGACAACAAAAAGAAAGAAAAGGCATCCAAATCAGCAGAGAAGTAATCAAACTCTCTTTCTTTGCAGATGACATGATACTTTATGGGGAAAACCCAAAAGATTCCAACCCAAAATTGCTAGAACTCATACAGCAATTCAGCAACGTGGCAGGATACAAAATCAATGCACAGAAATCAGTTGCATTTCTATACACTAACAATGAGACAGAAGAAAGAGAAATTAAGGAATCGATCCCATTCACAATCGCACCAAAAACCACTAGATACCTAGGAATAAACCTAACCAAAGAGGTAAACGATCTGTACTCTAGAAACTACAGAACACTTATGAAAGAAATTGAGGAATACACAAAGAGATGGAAAAACATTCCTTGCTCATGGATTGGAAAAATAAACATTGTTAAAATGTCTATGTTGCCCAGAGCAATCTACACATTCAATGCAATCCCTATCAAAAAACCACTGACATTTTTCACAGAGCTGGAACAAACAATCCTAAAATTTCTATGAAATCAGAAAAGACCCCGAATCACCAGGGGAATGTTGAAAAAGAAAACCAAAGCTGGGGGCATCACACTGCCTGACTTCAAGCTCTATTACAAAGCTGTAATCATTAAAGCAGCATGATATGGCATGAAAACAGACACATAAGTCAATGGAATAGAATACAGAGCCCAGAAATGGACCTTCAACTCTATGGTCAACTAATCTTCAACAAAGCAGGAAAGAATATCCAATGGAAAAAAGTCTTCAACAAATGGCTGTTGGGAAAACTGGACAGCCACATGCAGAAGAATGAGACTGGACCATTATCTTACACCATACACAAAGATAAACTCAAAATGGATGAAAGACCTAAATGTGAGACAGGAATCCATCAAAATCCTAGAGGAGAACATAGGCAGCAACCTGTTTGACCTTGGACAAAGCAACTTTTTCCAAGACGCATCTCTAAAGGCAAGGGAAACAAAAGCAAAAATGAACTTTTGGGACTTCATCAAGATAAAAAGCTTCTGCACAACAAAGGAAACAATCAACAAACCTATGGAATGGTAGAATATATATGCAAATGATATTACAGATTAAGGGCTGGTATCCAAGATCTACAAAGAACTTCTCAAACTCAACACTCATCCAAAAAAACAAATAATCCGGTCAAGAAATGGGCAGAAAACATGAACAGTCACTTCTCCAAAGACATACAAATGGACAACAGACACATGAGAAAATGCTCCACATTACTTGCCATCAGGGAAATACAAAACAAAATCACAATGAGATACCACCTTATACCAGTGAGAATGGCTAAAATTAACAAGACAGAAAACAACAAATGTTGGCAAGGATGTGAAGAAAGGGGGAACCCTCTTACACTGTTGGTGGGAATGCAAGCTGGTATAGTCACTCTGGAAACCAGCATGGAGATTCCTCAGGATGTTAAAAATAGAACTACCCTACGACCCAGCAATTTACCCCAAAGATACAGATGTAGTGAAAAGAGGGGGCACACGCACCCCAATGTTCATAGCAGCAATGTCCACAATAGCCAAACTGTGGAAGGAGCCGACATGTCCTTCAACAGATGAATGGATAAAGAAGATGTGGTTCATATATGCAATGGAATATTACTCAGCCATCAGAAAGGATGAATATCTATCATTTACATCGACATGGATGGAACTGGAGGGTATTATGCTAAGTGAAATAAGTCAATCAGAGAAACACAATTATCATATGGTTTCACTCATGTGGAACATAAGGTATAATGCAGAAGACAATAGGGGAAGGGAGGAAAAACTGAATGCAAAGAAATCATTGAGAGACAAACCATGAGACTCTTGACTACAGGAAACAAACCGAGGGTTGCAGAAAGGGAGGTGGGTGGGGGAATGGGGTAACAGGGTGATAGGAATTAAAGAGGGCATGTGATATGATGAGTACTGCATGTTATATTCAACTAATGAATCCTGAACATTGTATCAAAACCTAATGATGTACTATACCTTGGCTATTTAAAAAACAAAAAAACAAAAACATGCAAGCATAGTCCTCTCCCCCATGGGACTTACAGATAAAGCAAATAAATAAACAAATATATCCAAAAAGAAAGAAAGAAAAGAAGCTAAGTGAAAGAAAGCAGACATGAGGTCACATACTATATGATTCCATTTATATGAAACATCCAGAAAAGTTAAATCCATAGAGACAAAAGGCATATTGGTGACTATAAGGCACAGGCAGAAGGAGAAATAGGGAGCAACTGCTCAAAGGATACAGTTCTTCCTTTTGGGATAGTGAAAATGTTTTAAAAATTATATAGAGGTGGCAGTTGCATTACACTGTGAAGGTACTAAATGCCAATCAACTGTCCACTTTAAAACTGTTTATATCAATTTCACCTCAATAAAAAAAATACAAAAAATTTTTGATTGTTGGGGCAGCTGGGTGGCTCGGTCGTTAAGCATCTGCCTTCGGCTCAGGTCATGATCCCAGAGTCCTGGGAGAGAGCCCAGCATAGGGCTCCCTGCTCCACAGGAGGCCTGCTTCTCCCTCTCCCACTCCCCCTGCTTGTGTTCCCTCTCTCGTTGTGTCTCTCTCTGTCAAATAAAGAAATAAAATCCTAAAAAAAAAATATTTTTTTTTATTGCTTATATATGCTATAAAAATGTAGTTCAGGGGTACCTTAAGGAAAAAAATCTAATTCCATACCCTATCTCAGACCTTCCACCAACCCAATGTAAAATTATTTTAAATTATTTCTTAAGACTCCAGGGGAAAAACTTTAAGTCATAAATCATAAAGACATGGGAAAAGATTAAAAAAAAAAAAAAAAAAACCAAAAACCAGAACCCCCTCTAATAGTCATTTTTGTTTACACTTCAATTCTTTGCATATACAATCTGACAGTGAGAAACAAGGTATATTAGGAATGAAAGTGGAACTTAATCATATTTAAAAGGCAAAATTTTTAAATGTTGGTCAAATTTAAGCTTCAGCCTAAAAAAAATAAAGAGCCCAAACATACACAATAAAAAGAAATTTCATAATAACAAGGCTGTGATTATTTCTTACCTCACTATCTAAGAAATCAGAAAGGAGTTTCAGAACATTCTTGGCTGTAGCAGTCTCTTCTTCAGCTTCTTTGAACTCTTGGTCTCCATCAGTGTTTATTTCTGCATCTTCACTTTGTACGGCTTTGATTTTTTTAGTTTTAAATGGCTCAATACCAAACGTCATCAGTTGGTCAAAGATTGCCTTTAAAGCACTTATTTTTATTGTCACATCATCAATTTGCAAAACCTAAATTGAAACATCCCCCGCCAAAAAAAGTAAATTCAGTAAACTTTTCATTGTCTATGCTGTATAAAATTAACATGTACCCTATTTTCTTAGTCTAATTCCAACAGTCAAGTCCACATGAAACATCATTTTTCAAAAATTAAAATTTGTTTTAACGTTATTATTTTCATTTGTACCATAACATTCAGACTTCTATTTCATTCAGGAAAAGTTCATCTTCAGTACAAAAAAAATTCCTAGAACTAGAATCAGGCTGTATTATATTATTTGTTCCTTTTATTTGAAAAAGAATGAATATATTGGATATGATTTTTTTTTAAGATCTAGAAAAACTGTTCAATTACATTGTAATTGTTACAGCCATCCCTTAAGTAAAAAACATTACATTTTAACCAATAAAAAGCATTCATTAGAATATCAGTACTCTTCCAGGTTAGCAAGCTTTACTAAAGATAAAATTTTCTTTATTAGTTCAATAAATTCAAATTTCATTAAAAGTAAATTCAGTTCTCAATGAATTGGACTCCTTTAAAAAAGGGGGTAAACTATAAAATCCAGCAGTTTGTATGAGTCTGTCCTAGGTTAAGAACACTGAATTCCTATATACTAAATTTCAAAGCCATGAAAAAGATAGAGCTGAATATTTCTATTATGAAAAGCTTTATTATATTCTTTAATGCACTTAAATTTTGGACATGGATCCACTACTTGGCTATATGGCTTAGCCTTTAGACTGAATAAAAATTACAAGTTGGTCAAGTTAGTGAATTGAGAAAAATAGCTCAAATCTTTGAAAAAAATTTCAAAATGTTATCTATTATGGTAAGACCTGCAAATTTCCCAAAGACAAATGCAATGTAAGGACTATTCTATAAGATTTCTAAACATGCTACTCTTTTAGCAGCAACTTGGTTTTCCTTGTCCTTCTCAGTCCCTTACTGGTTAGCAATAGCTCTCAATACTGTATTTATCTAAGCAAGACTTTAAAATGAAATAATTTCTGGGGCACCTAACTGGCTCAGTCAGTAGAACATGTGACTCTTGATCCTGAGGTTGTGAGTTTGAGCCCCATGTTGGGCATGAAGCCAAGAAGGAAGGAAGGAAGGATTTCTCTCTCTTACCTTTCTAACAAGTGTGTATACGTGTCTTAAATCAATTTGTATTACTAAGGCTTGATTTAAAAAAGAACTGATTTCTTACTCCCCCAAAAGATAGCTATTTTCCCTTAATTTAAAATCTTCTAATGAGAGCCCTAAAAGTAACTTTATGAACAAATGAATTCATTCAGTGGTTAACTTCTTTTGATCATAAACCCTTTTAAGGACATGAGAAGAGCTTAAAACCCCACTGCAGAATAACATACAAAAAAAAAAAAGGACAAAATTTTACATATAACTTTTTTTTATTTTTTTTTTATAGATTTATTTATTTGACAGAGGGAGAGAGACAGCGAGAGTGAGAGCACAAGCAGGGGGAGGGGCAGAGGGAGAGAGAGAAGCAGGCTCCCTGCTAAGCAAGGAGCCTGACAAGGGACTTGATCCCAGGATCCTGGGATCAAGGCAGGCGCTTAACTGACTGAGCCACCCAGAAGCCCCTACATATAACTTATTTTACTGCATTTGAACCTGATATTCACAAACATTTTTTTTTTTTTAAGATTTTATTTATTTATTTGACAGAGACACCGCGAGAGAGGGAACACAAGCAGGGGGAGTGGGAGAGGGAGAAGCAGGCTTCCCGCGGAGCAGGGAGCCCGATGCGGGGCTCGATCCCAGGACCCTGGGATCATGACCTGAGCCGAAGGCAGTCGCTTAACCAACTGAGCCACCCAGGCGCCCCCAACAAACATTTTTAATTCACAAAAAAAATCTAGGGATGCCTGGGTGGCTCAGTCAGTGTCTGACTCTTGATCTCATGGTCATGAGTTTGAGCCCTGCACTGGGCTCACATTGGGCATGGAGCCTACTTTAAAAAAAAAAATCTCTATCTATACATATATATATGTATAGATAGAGATTTTTTTTTCCAGGCAAATATTAATAGCTAGTCCTCAAAAAAAGTTTAGGGATCTCCGTTGTTTATATTACAAAAGAGGGGGGCAACTTCAATTCTTTAAAACTTTAATTCCATGACAAGGCTGCTTTTCTATTGACTGGTTTGATTTGGAAGAGGGTAAAATTGTGGAATGGTCTTGATAAGAAACATCATTTATCTTTCACACCTGCTTGATTTTGACAATTCCTTTCCACAACGGAGAAGTACAAATATAAAAATAAACAGTATCAAGGCTCCTATATGCTCTGTCAAGTGGAGCATGAGTTAGTATTAAATATATCAGAATGCTCCAGGACACGCTTAAGCATTACAATCATACTATATTTCTTTGGCTGCAATGACCACAGCACTTATTACTGATGTTATGGCCAGCAAAAATTAAAAGGATCAAAATCCACATTTCATCTTTAAAGGTTAAGTGAACTTAATTATCTTTTAGAAAAGTCCTATGGTGTTTCCTTTGCTGCAATATTAGAAATTTTATGTAACTGTCTGCCTTTAATCTCCTCTATTAGAGTTCCAACCTGACTACAACTCACAATTTTTCAGCAGCATTCTTAATGGTACATAGAACATCTTAATGAATGTTTTATCCCATTTTTAGAGCCAAAAAAACCTACTTAAGCTAGATATAAATGAATTCTTCACTATTGAATGTTCTAATAAGATTTTTCTTCCACTTAAGAGTAATGACCAGAGATCAATCTAGCACTTCAAGACCCATCTTCTAGGAAGCCAGGAAACCCAAGTAGAGAGCTTACTATATATACAGTATTTCTTAGCAAAACCTCTTTGAAAATACAGGATTTTATTCTCTGGGCACCTATATTAAGCCAAAAAATTTCACAATAGTAAACAAGACTTCCTTCTAATTACTAACAGAATCACTAATGCCAACTGACTGAGAAAGAATGACTATAACACATGTAGATTCACTCTACATCTTAGAGCAAAACCAGATGTAGGGCCAAGTACTATAAATGATTCATCTGGACAAAGTACCAAAATTTTTGTTTCTTTGAGAAAGGAACTTTCACATCATTTTTAAAGATAATACTGATGGTGCCTGGGTGGCTCAGTCGTTATGCGTCTGCCTTCGGCTCAGGTCATGATCCCAGGGTCCTGGGATCGAGCCCCGCATCGGGCTCCCTGCTCTGGGGGAAGCCTGCTTCTCCCTCTCCCACTCCCCCTGCTTGTGTTCCTGCTCTCGCTATCTCTTGCTCTGTTTCAAATAAATAAAATCTTTAAAAAATAAAATGATAAAAAAGATAATACTGACATTTCAAGTTTCCAAAAGGATCTAACAATAACAGAAATTTTTCTAAGACAACAGCAGCATAGGATGATAAATATAAACAGAGCATCAACAGGAATTTCATCACTGCACAGTAAATAAATTGATGAGATGCCAAATGCTCCAAAAAAGGAAACTAAAACAAAACCCTGAAATTCCTAATGACTATCTTTTGACGTAAGTATGATTTTAATTTTCTTCCTCTGATACAAGCCACGAGCAGTTTGACCATTTCCAGAACACATGACTTCCCCAAGTTCTAATTGTATGCTTTTTTCCCCTCGGTAATGTGATTGCAACATTAAAGCATGCTCCAAGATAAGGGTTTCATGCTGAGGGAATACTCTACTATTGCTTGAGTTCAGTCTTTTTTTTTTTTTTTTAAGATTTATTTATTTATTTGAGAGCGAGCGAGCACATGCGAGCAGGGGGCAAAGCAGTGGGAGAGAGAGAATCTCTAGCAGACTCCCATGGAGCCCAACATTGGCAGATTTCAGGACTCTGAGAGATCATGTCCTGAGCCAAAATAAAGAGTTGGATGCTTAACTAACTGAGCCACCAGGCACCCCAGAGTTCAGTCTTTTAAAATAATCTTTTCATGAAAATGATGATCTGTGTTGTCACATGTTATTTTCAAACTGAGCACACAAAGCACTCCCATTTACCGCTGGCAAGCAATTTGCACTAAAATTCCCTGCAGCTTTTTTATACCATTAGATTTGGCAATACCAGATGCTACCTGAGTCACATTGTCTTTTCATATGGAGAAGTGGAGGGAGGTATATTTTTGAAGTTAAGCCAGGCCCAAATGTTAAAAGATAGATGTCCAAAGGCGTTAAAAAGTCAAACACATTCCATTGGTACACTAGATTTCATCCTTCTTGTCTATTCAGTAGCATTCTCGCAAGTGCCTTCTCTTCCTGTATTATCAATTTTTTCCTTTCAACAGAGCCATTGTCCTTAGTATTTATTACAAACATGGTGTAATCTTCTCCATCTTAAAAAAAATCTAAAACAAAACCAAAAACCTCTTCTTTTTATTCCAAACCCTTCTCTTGCTACCTCCCCATTTCTATTTCTCCTAACAAAAATAAAATCTTGGAAGAGTAGTCTACACTGGCTATCTCCAATTCCTCTCTCATAATTCTCTCTTCAGCCCACTCCAATAAAGCTTTGCCCTTCACATAAGCTATTCTCATGAAAGTCACCAAACACTTCCTTATTTGCCCCAAATGGTCAATTATAAATCCTTATCAACCTGTCACCAGCATTGGACAGTCGGGTGATGCTAGCCCCTGTAAAATATCATCTTCACTTGCCTTCTAGGAATGACATCACACTCTCCCCTTACTGTCTACTTCACCTTAGCCTTTACTGGTTCTTTTTATCTCCCCTTTCCTTGAAATGTGGCCTAAGCCCTAGGGAACTACAAAGTCAAGATCTCTACTCAATCTACACTCATCCCTCACATAACATCCAATCTCTAAGCACTGGATACTATTATAAAGACTTAGAATTAATCTCTCCGACTTGCACTTCCCTCCTATCTCCAAACTCACATACAAATGTCTTATTTGATAAATCCACTTGGAACTCAAACTTCAAATTTACCATGCCCAAAATTGAACTCCTTATCTCATCCACCTGCCATACAACCTGTTCCTCTGTTTTCCCTATCACAGGAAAGGGCAAGTTTATCCTTCCAATTATTTGGGCTAAAATTCTTAGCTATCTTCAATTTCTTTCTCTCACATGTTACATCAGATTCATCACCAAATACTAAAGATGTCATCTTCCAAACTTATATTACCACCCCTTCTCACAACCCCAATAACCACTTGAATACTGGTCCAAATCATCATCTCTTTCCTGGATTATTGCATACCTTCCTTATGAGTATCTCTGCTTCCATACTTGTAACCCTACAGTTAATATTAGGGACCTGTAAACTATGGGTAAGGGGCCAAATCCAGTCTGCTACCTGTTTTTGCACAGACTTCAAGTTAAGAAGAGTTACACATCTTTAAATGGTTAAAAAAAAAAACAATTTCATTACATGTGAAAATTATCTGAAATTTAAATTTTACTGTCCATAAATAGATTTTTACTAAACTACTACCACACTAATTCATTTACATATTGTCTTGGGTGTTTTCACACTTGCACCGCAGAATAGTACTCGAGACACACCATATGGCCTGCAAAGTCAAAAATATTTACTCTCTAGCCCTTTACAGAGAAGGTCTGTCAACCCCTAGTTTACATCAACACTATACCCCAGTCAGATCATAATAATCCTCTACTCAAAATCCTCCAGTTCTTTCCCATTTCATTCACAGTGAAGTCTCTTAAGTCCCTAGAAGATACGGACATCCTGTTGCCTGCAAATACTTTTTCCTACTATTTTCCTCTTTGCTCAATTTGCCCTAGCCACAGTTACCCTGCTCCTTGAACATGTGAAACAAAGTCCTACTTCAGGGGCCCTTCCCCTGTTCTTCCCTATCCTCAGAAACATCTTACCCAGATATCTACATTGTTCATTCTCCCACTTTCCTCTGGTATTGGCTCAAATTCAACTTATTAGTGAGGCCTTTCTCTAAGAAATAGATCTTTCTCCCTATTTCCACTCCTTACTCCTCTTCTTTGCTTTTTTCAATCTGACTCGCTATGTATTGTTTATTTTTCATTGTGTTTCCCCTTCTAAAATGTAAGCTCCATTAGGACAGCAACTTTTATCTTGGTTTTTTTCATTACCTATCTTATTATTTTCCAAGCCTAGAATAATGCTGGGCACAGAATATGCTATATGTTTAATTTTTAAAAAATATCTTAAGTAATTGACATTTCATCTTTTTTTCTACTTTAACAAGAAAGAAATCTAAAGATAAAAATCATCCAGTCCCTAAAAGTCATCCATAACAGTCATCATCATTAATAAGCCCTGGAATAAATTAAATTCAGAACACTCAAATTATCACCACAGATTCTGAGTACTTATTTCAGGAAATACAAGCAAGATTTTGTCATAGGATAAATCCTACCTGCAACAGTAATACGAAGTGTTTACTTGCAAAATCCTGATTCTGTAGTCCACAGCATCCCAAGCATAAAACAGCCAGATTTCTTATTACAGGATGAACACTTACTATTCCAGGAAGAATCTAAATTAAATAAATTTAATTAAAATAATTTTGACAAGGACAAGAAATTCATAACAGTATATTAAAAACATGGTGAAATAGATAATTTCTGTATGATATCACAGATCTACTTCTTATCCATATTGTCTAACAATTTTCAGTTAAAAAAAAAAAAAAAAGGTAGGGGCGCCTGGGTGGCTCAGATGGTTAAGCGTCTGCCTTCGGCTCAGGTCATGATCCCAGGGTGCTGGGATCAAGCCCCATGTCTGGCTCCTGGCTCCTGGCTCGGCAGAGAGCCCGCTTCTCCCTCTCCCTATGCCTCTCCCCCTGTTCATGCACTCTCTCTCTATCTCTGTGTCTCAAATGAATAAATAAAAAAGAAAATCTTTAAAAAAAAAAAAAAAAGGAAATATTAAATTGCTAAAACAGAAGAATGTAGCCAGAGTGAAATACAGTCTGATCACAAGACACCTCCCCTTCCACCTGCTAAAAGTGACTTAATAGCTTCCCAGTGCTCATAGGACAAAGATAAAACTCCCTTACATGACATATATCTCATTGTGTAGTCTCTCTTAGTACTATCTTATATTATGCTACCCCTTGCTCTTTGCTTATACAATGGTCTGATTTTGATGCCTTCCATTCAGTGCTATTCAACAGAAATATGTTAAGTCATAGGTCACTTTAAATTTTCTAGAAAATTTAAAAGAAACATGTGAAGCTAATTTTAGTGTACTTTATTACACCCAATATAACCAATTATTAACATTACAACATGTAATCAATATTAAAAAAATTGAGATAATCTACATTGTGTTGTTTGTACTAAGTCTTCAAAACCCAATGTATTTTGACCCTTACAGCACATCTCAGTTTGGACTAATTGTTAATAGCCACAGGTTTTGTTTTTTAAAGATTTTATTTATTTATTTGAGAGAAAGAGTACACAGAGGGAGAGTGAGAAGCAGACTCCCCGCTGAGCAGAGAGCCCGACGTGGGACTCGATCCCAGGACCCTGAGATCATGACCTGAGCCGAAGGCAGACGCTTAACCGACTGAGCCACCCAGGCGCCCCTAGACACAGGTTTTTAATAGACACATGTGGCTGGTTGCAACTGTACTAGAGAGAGCAAATCTAGAATATTCTTCCTTCCCTTTTTCACATACTTAATGTCTATTCAAAAATCAGATCAAGGTCATCTTCCCTGAATAGAGCCAATCCACTATTATAAATTCACATATGACCATATAGCTCTTTTTCATAGCACTTATCAATGGCATAACCTTCTACTTATATTTGATTGATGTCCCTCTCACTTGACCAGAAGATCTACAAGGGCAGTCTACATGTTTTGTATACCATATACACTCTATCACTGGCATTTAGTATATAGTAGATGTTCAATAAATATTTGTTCAATTAGTAACTTACGGTTTTTACTTAAAAATGGTAACTTCATTAAAATATTACAACTCCTCTAAATACCCTATTCATTTACATCCCTCTAGTTTCTTTCTTTCTTTTTTATTTATTTATTTGAGAGAGAGAATGAGAGAGAGAGCATGAGAGGGGGGAGGGTCAGAGGGAGAAGCAGACTCCCCGCCGAGCAGGGAGCCCGATGCGGGACTCGATCCCGGGACTCCAGGATCATGACCCAAGCCGAAGGCAGTTGCTTAACCAACTGAGCCACCCAGGCACCCCCCTCTAGTTTCTTTTGATCTTTAGACATAAATTGTTTTTGTATACTCAAAATCATTATGATCATTCAATTTTGTGTTCTTTCTTCACTCAAAATTGTGTATCTTTTCCAACAAGTATACAGTCTTCATATTTACTACTTCAATTGTGTCATATACGATACTTTACCATTCTCTTGCAACAGGACCAGACATAAAGTATGCAAACAGAACTTTAAAAGTACTACTTTTCACTAAAGACATTTGCTTCACTAAGAATAAAGCTAAAATTCTAATGGCTTAGTAAAATCTTCTTTCAATCAGAAGTTCTACATTGTTGTAAACAATAATTGGTCTTCTTTACTGACTTTAGAAACTCATGACAATCCAAGGAACTTGGTTTTAGATTATATTCACTGGCTGTTTTTCATTAATCCCAAGTAAAAACAATTGGGGGAGAATCCTGGAAGAGCCTGGATACATTCAAAATTTGCTTTGGATAAGTAGTGCTGGTAAAAACAATACCCTAGAGTTGCACTATGTGATTCTGTAGCCACTGACCACATGTGACTACAGAACACTTGAAATGTGATTACACCAGACTGAGATATGCTATCAAGACTTAGTATGGGGGCGCCTGGGCGGCTCGATTGGTTAAGCGTCCGACTCTTGATTTCAGCTCGGGTCTTGATCTCAGGGTCGTGAATTCAAGCAAGCCCTGCACTGGGCTCCATGCTTTTTTTTACTTAAAAAAAAAAAAAGACTTAGTATGAAGAACTGAATGTAAAATATCTCAGTAGTTTAATACTGAGTAAATGATGCCATTAAAACATTTTGGGTATATCGGGTTAAATATATTAAAATTAATTTCGGGCGCCTGGGTGGCTCAGTTGGTTAAGCGACTGCCTTCGGCTCAGGTCATGATCCTGGAGTCCCGGGATCGAGTCCCGCATCGGGCTCCCTGCTCGGCAGGGAGTCTGCTTCTCCCGCTGACCCTCCCCCCTCTCATGTTCTCTCTCTATCTCATTCTCTCTCAAATAAATGAATAAAATCTTTAAAAAATAAATAAATAAATAAATAAAATTAATTTCACCTGTTTCTTTTTAATTTTTAAATGTGGCTACAGAAAATGTAAAGTTACATGTAGTTTGCATTACATTGCTATCAGACAATGTTGTTTTACTACAGATTGCAGTATTTATGTCCCTATGCTCAATAATATGGAAATTACCTTTGAAGAGCTACTTAAGTATAAAGTCCTTTAAATATACAGGAAAAAACAAATTCCTTTCATGGGACTCACAATGTCAACAGTCTCATAGTCTTTCTATATAGCAAGATTCCAATATTTAAATATTCCTGATGTGTTTCAGTATTTCCCCTTACTATCAAAGAATGAAGATATTCTACATCTCTTTCTAGCATAATTTTTTCATACTTCTTAAAGGAATAAATATACTTATATACCAGGTCTTTTATATATATTATCTTAATTTAATCTTCACAATATGAAGTAGTCACTATATAATTTTTTTTTTACCACTTATATTTATCAGATGTTTAAGATGGTCATCTTTTTCTTCTTTGGAACTCCAAGGAACATATTACTTATGAAATGAGGAAGGAATGGGCTAAAGTATAAAGCCTCAAAGGCCACAAACATACCAAAGATTCAATGATGCCATTCATGGTTGCACCTATACCAGCTGAAGTGGACATCTGCTTCAACAGTTCATAGCACAAAATAAGACACTTCTGTAGTGTTTCAACATCATTCTAAAATGAAACACAAAATATTCTGCATTAGTAAGAATATCTTCTGTCCATCCCTTAAATGTTAGCTTTTTCAGGGCTTTGTCTAAGGCATATTATCTCTAGATACAGTCCCTGGCAATCTTATCCAATTATCCAACTGCATTTACAATACATGAGCTGACCCAGCTATTTCTTAAGTTTCAGATTCATATATACAATTGCTATAAGACATTTCCTCTTGTATGTTCCACAGGCTTCTCAAACTTAAATGTCCAAAAGAGAACCAATTTATCATTACCCCAATCCCTCTTCTTGTGCTATTTCCATAAATAACACTGCCATCTACCCAAATGTCCAAACCAAAAGACCTACAATACATTCTTGACTCACTCTTCTCCCTGTTACTAATTCCTAAATACTTCTCAAATCCATCACTTCTTTCCACATCCACCATCATTGTCTTGTTCAGGCTGTAATCATATCAAGCCTACATTAATTTAACAGTCTTCAACTACTATGCCTGCCTAGGCTCTTATCACGCTGCAACCCATTTTCTGACGAAGATATAAATCTCATCCTACCACTTAAAACCTTTAGTGGTTCACCATGATCCTTGGCTAAGGCAGAAAGTTTTCAATATTGCTTATACAAGGCCTTATAAGACCTGGCCATTAATTTTTCCACTAGATTTCTCTCTTACCTCTCCCCCCTCAATTCTCTAGTCATGTGGACCTGAAGTTTTCAAACACAGCAGGTACTCTTTAACTTCTGGGCCTTCACACATGCCTTCCCATCTGCCTGCATTCCTTTAACAATTCATCAGGGAGAGACAACAGAGTGCATTAAAGGCACAAATCTAAAGCCACTTGCCTGACTTGCCTGGATTTGAATCCTGCCTCTACAATTTACTATCTGTGTGACTTTGGGCAAGTTATTTTTCCTCTATAAAATGAAAATAGCACCACCCCATAGGGTTATAGTGAGAATCAAACACTTGCGAAGTGCCTGAAGCAGTGACTACCACAGAAAAAGCATCCTGTAAATGTTAGCTTACGTTGTTATTTTTACTCAAATGTCAAGTGAAAACATTTCTTCCCCTGGGGAAGCCAACAACAGCCTACCTGGGTTAGATGCCTCTCCATTCAACCCCTATAACTTCCCCGCCTATACCATCTATTATGCCATGCTGTAAATTATACTATAATAAATTTATAACCCTTAAATAGGACAAATGAACACACAAAAGATCAAAGGAAGTCAAGTTAAACAGATGATATTAATCACGATAGGACATATTTGTTCATATTTTTCCAATTCAGACCTGGAGTTTATATTGTTTTTCAGTTTATATTTTCATTTTTCACTTTAAATCTGCTCCTCAAATTAAAGAACCTATAATAATCCATAGACTTTGTCAAACAAAATAAGGTACTAGCTAGGAAAATAAAATTCAGGCATACTCAAAAGTGGAGTGTTTGAGCAGGGATGTCTATGGCTAGAGAGCACAAGGACATAGCACAACTTACAAAATGCTCCTGTATAGTAAACTCTTCCCTATTCAGTATTCTACTTATGAGCATACTCCAATCAGCACTTTCTAAACTGAAGTAAAATAATAATGATATTTACTACAAAAGGCAAAATTCTAAAAGACCCCCTGAAAGTTAACATCAAATATTATACTGATACCATTCTATCTTATGATAAAATATGACAAGTTTATCAAACACAATGAAGTTTAAAAAAAAATGAATGCTGTGGGCGCCTGGGTGGCTCAGTTGGTTAAGCGACTGCCTTCGGCTCAGGTCATGATCCTGGAGTCCCTGGATCGAGTCCCGCATCGGGCTCCCTGCTCGGCAGGGAGTCTGCTTCTCCCTCTGACCCTCCTCCCTCTCATGCTCTCTGTATCTCATTCTCTGTCTCAAATAAATAAATAAAATCTTAAAAAAAAAAAAAAAAAAGAATGCTGAAACTCAGCTTTAAGTGTTACTAGATAAAATGCTTAGTATTTCATTTAAAATAACAAAACTACTTAGCTTTTTCTAAAAACAAAAATGTAGTTAAGCTTTAAAAATTTACATGTATAATGGGACAGTTACAGAAATTCTTTTCCCAGCTAAGTCAGGAGTCTTCCACAAAGAAAAAGATGGATAGATAGATGCATATTCCTTTTCTAAAGCATTCAAAACACATACACTCTCTCGCTCAATCTCTCTCTCTCTCTCTCTCTCTCTCTCTCACACACACACACACACACACACGGAAAACACTAGAAGGCAAGTTTCCTTAGCAAGGAAGAAAGACTATATAGACTACAGAGATTAGCGTGACAATGGAGCAAATAAAGTCCTAGTTATAATAATTAAAGCTAATTGAGGCCTTTCAAAGTCTAAGATAAAAAGAAACAAGAGAAAAAAATTATTTTCATGTTAATTCATGATACTTCTAAAAAGTCCTCCAAATAAATATATTCTGGCAGATTTGAGTTAAGAAAGAAAATAAAGTGTAGTTGAGATGATTGATTAATAACAGCTGAAATTTAGTATGATAAAGTAATCTATACCTTCTCTATATGGACTTCTTTGATTTCAAGTTGCTCTGTCTCTTTCAATAGGTTTATTTTGGCATCTTCTAATGCTTTTATTTCTTCTTTTAATTCTGATGCTTGATTAAAATCCTGTAAGTTAATGCAATTTTCCAAAGCTTCTTTTGCCTCAATAAGTTTAACTTTTATTTCTGCCATCTAAGGAAAGATACAAATTGCTTTAACAAAAACTATTATTATGAACATCTATAGCAAACTAAAGAGTAATACTTAACATCATGACACCATATACAACAACAGCCATATACAAAAAAGTCGTAGTCTTCCTGATCCAAAGAAGGGCAAATCTTCCAAACTGCATAATCTGGTAACATTTTAGATACTCTTATAGTTTAACAGTTAATCAATAATTTGACTCTGTGAGAACAATTTTGAAAATGTAGAGCAAGAGGAAACAAAAGACTTGCATGGCTACGTTATACTCAAGCATTTATTTAATTTAGAAGAAATTTACCTTGAGTTCTTTCTTTCTTGCATCAGCTGGATCACCAGCACCAACAGTAACAATGGGCGCCCTAATCTCTGAGATAATTTCTGTAACCTGATAAGTTAGAATTCAGAGTACATGCTTTAATATATGTTCTATATCATAAAATGAATCAAACTGCTACACAGAACTCCAAATAGTATCCACAATCTCTTTAAAAATAGAGCAAAACAGAGTAAAACAGCACACATTCTACTTGCTAGACAATTTTGGGGAAAGAAATGACCAAACAATATACCTGACTAAAAACTCTAAGATTATGAGAAGGTAAATAGGCACATAGACATTGAAGATAAATTCTCTCATATAATGCTTGAAAAACAAAGAAAAATGAATATAGTATCTAATCTTAGGCACCAAAAACTAGAATTCTGTCTATAATCCTCAACTCCCTCCCTTGTTTAGCTCCACGGGAGTTAAATATAGAAAAACAGAATACTCTTTTATTCTTCCTTTGGGTATACAATGCATAAATAATGACAGCCTAACTAAAGACTTTCCTTTCAGAGCCACTGGGACACAACAGTTGGCTGATTCAGGAAAAGGCTACATCCCAAATGAAGGTACTTAAGCAGATGTTGGATAACCACTAACTGGGAATGTTGCATGTTGTAGAAAGGATTTATGTGTAAGTATGTATAAGAAGGGGTTGGAAAAGACAACCCTGAATTAATTTGCAACTCAGAGATTGTATGAATTGATGAAAAGCACTGATACGGGTCTTTTTGGCTAGCCCAGAAAAAATAATACTTGGCAATAGTATTATAACAGATAACATTTATTTCTGTATTTACCAAGCACTTGATGAACACTATTTCATTGAACAAGGTAGATTTTATTGTTATTCGCACTTTGCAGACAAGTAAAAAGGCTAAATTAAGTAACTTGCTCAAAGTCACAAAGCTAGAAAGTAGCAGAAGGGATCTGAACCTAAGTGCGTCTAATTTGAGCCAGCTCTCAAACACTCTAGTGACTAAGACATATGTGTCCCCTCTTCCCTAACTTGTTCCATTTCAAACTGATTCAACAGAATGATAGGAAGAGAAGGAGATGATTTTTCAAATGTGTGTGTGGGAGAGAGATTTAGTTTTAAGAAGTCTAAAAACTTAATATACAAGACTAAAACAAAAGGCAATTAAAGATAAATAAAGCAAAAAATACTGAAAAGAAAACAAGACAATCCTCAATATCGTTGACCAAAACCTTTTAACCTTTATGAACAATTAAGAAAATTACTTACAATTTGTGTTCTCTTATTATCATCCATAACGATGCAGAGCAATCTCTCAACAAGAAAAGAAAGTAGGGATACCGGGGTTGTGGGTAGAGTAAGAATCTCCTGTAAAACAGCCAGTAGTCCTTTCCTGCATTCAAAAAGAACTATTTTCACTTAAACATGATGGTAGAAACACATTTTATCTCTAACATTTCATTTATTCTGCAGACTTAATTTTATTTATCTCAGTTCTTTTTTATCACCATAGGTACAAAAAAATTATGTATAGACTAGGTCAAAAATTTATGTTCTGCAAAAAAAAAAAAAAATTTTTATAAAGACCCTACAATCTGTCATAAATCAACACGATGAAATGAAAAACATCAGAAGTGAATCAAATCTTTAGAGAGTATTACTAGCCTTCTCTGTAATAGAGATTTTTAAGCAAAATCTGCAATTTTATTGATTTATTCTGAAAAAATTGAATTATTTCCATATATATGAACAAAATGGATACAAACTGCACAGGTCTACCTATATGCATATTTTTGCCCATAAATATAGTATAGCACAATTCCAGAAATACAATACAGTACTTTATTTTCTCTTCCTTAAATTTTCTTAATAACATTTTTCTCTAGCTTACTTTATTTTAAGAATATGGTATATAATACATATAATATAGAAAATCATGTTAATCAACTGTTTATGTCAATTTTTATGTTTATGCTTATTGGTAAGGCTTTTAGTCAATAGGCTATTAATAATTAGGTTTTTGAGAGGTCAAAAGTTATATCTGGATTCTGACTCCAGAGAGGGGATGGGGGACCAGCACCCTTACCCCCTCCCCGTGTTGTTCAAGAGTCAATTATATGTATGTATGTGTGTGTGTGTATGTATATATATATACACACACATATATGTATGTATACACAGAGAGACAGAGAGAGAGAGAGAAAGGGTGTATTTCCTGTTAGATATTACATGTGTAAGAGGAAAAAGAAAACTCTTTATTGTACTTCAGAGAGCTAGGTTAAATATAAATATACTTAATCATACCGTAACAAGACTATATTTCAATATAGGATGTTAGAAGAGCAAATTAGGACAAGGGTTAATATTTAGACATACCTTCCTCCTTCTTCACTTGTATCCAAAGACTTGATAATTAGAATTAACTGTTGACCTATAAATTCTTTTGACATCAAATTTCCAATATAAGAAAAATCATTTTTCATTTCATCTTTAACAACTGGGATACTCTGAATATAACTAAAACAAGCAGAAAAAATAAAATGTAAAATCTGTTAAAAAAAAAAACATTAGCTCCCCATGAGGTCAGAAAAGGGTCTTTTTCAGTTCATATTACTTCAAATATATGGATGTTTATACCACATTATTCTAATTTGGCCTAAAGAATAAACTCTATGCTATTGTTATGAACTTCTGTAAACAAACTTATGGGCTTGAATCAAAAAGAATTTGGAAAATATACTCAATAAAGATTCAAATTTCTTATGGGAAATTTTCAAAAGGCACATATTTGACTCTCAAATTGATAACATTATTTCAATGTCACCAATATTTTTTTTTATTCTTATGTTAATCCCCATACATCATTAGTTCTAGATGAAGTGTTCCATGATTCATAACACCCAGTGCTCCATGCAGAACGTGCCCTCCTCAATACCCACCACCAGGCCAACCCATCCTCCCACCCCCCTCCCCTCTAGAACCCTCAGTTTGTTTTTCAGAGTCCATCGTCTCTCATGGTTCGTCCACCCCTCCGATTTCCCCCACTTCATTCTTCCCCTCCTGCTATCTTCTTCTTCTTCTTCTTTTTTCTTAACATATATTGCATTATTTGTTTCAGAGGTACAGATCTGAGATTCAACAGTCTTGCACAATTCACAGCGCTTACCAGAGCACATACCCTCCCCAGTGTCTATCACCCAGTCACCCCATCCCTCCCACCTCACCCCCCACTCCAACAACACTCAGTTTCCTGCGATTAAGAATTCCTCATATCAGTGAGATCATATGATACATGTCTTTCTCTGACTTATTTCACTCAACATAATACCCTCCAGTTCTATCCACGTCATTGCAAATGGCAAGATCTCATTCCTTTTGATGGCTGCATAATATTCCATTGTATATATATACCACATCTTTATCCAGTCATCTGTCAATGGACATCTTGGCTCTTTCCACAGTTTGGCTATTGTGGACATTGCTGCTATAAACATCGGGGTGCATGTACCCCTTCGGATCCCTACTTTTGTATCTTTGGGGTAAATACCCAGTAGTGCAATTGCTGGATCATAGGGTAGCTCTATTTTCAACTTTTTGAGGAACCTCCATACAGTTTTCCAGAGTGGCTGCACCAGCTTGCATTCCCACCAACAGTGTAGGAGGGTTCCCCTTTCTCCGCATCCCCGCCAACATCTGTCGTTTCCTGACTTGTTAATTTTAGCCATTCTGACTGTCACCAATATTTTCAATTAGAGTCCTGGATCCCTTTAATAAAAACTCAGTTTTTCATAAAGAGCTAGTCTTCACTCATCATCCCTAACTGACCATTATTCTTTTGCTTAAAAGAATAGTAATAATTAATACCAATTATGCAAGTAATCCATGAATACAATGACCTTTTAAAAAAAATCAGAAAAATAGACCTTCATGAATTTGTATTATCCTTGCTTAGGGGCCCTACTAATATCTGTATTGTTCTTATTTTAGTGTAGATACTCCTAAACAAGCACCATCTACTACCCTTTTATTCTTACTATCACTGCCCAACTTAAAGCCTTTTACAAACCTCACCTAGATAAAATTCAACAGCCTATCAAAAGGTCTCCCTTTTTTGTGTGATCAAAAAAAAAGCTACTTAAAGGCAGAATTAGGAGTTTAAGCTTAGACAACTAGGTGCTTTTAGGCTATAAGTAATATGAAAAACAATCCTGATGAAAAATGTCATTTTTAAAATGTCAACAAAAATCAAGTTATAAAAACTGCAGAACTATGTCTGATGAATAAACTGACTTGTCTTTAAAATGACAACCAAGAGTAAATAAAAGCTCACAAATCTCTGGCCATGAGATTAGGACTTTCAATGGTATCAGCACTCTGGGTTCCAGTAGAAAACTAAAGGAAAGAAACTAATAATTATCAAAATCATTAGCTTAGTAGTTGCTGGTTTCTGACAAGCTAAAAAACCTTCACTCATCTTTGAATCCTCCCCTCCCCTTTGAGTACTTTTCCACTCTAGCTTTAGCACAATGCATGCATCAAGACAGAGGGTATTTTTTAAAATAAATTCAAAGAGTAGTTGGTTCATTAATAGGTTACAAATCTCGAACTGCATAAATACAACTCAAAATGGACCCACCGATTTTAATTACCATGAAATCATCTTTTTAACCATTTTTAAACATATTCATTACAATGAAGAGACCACTCAAGAATAAGAAAGCCTTTTTCTTATTCTTAAAGCTCTCTCCAAGAATTTAGACTTAAGGTCACTTTCTAAAAATTATGTTGGTGTCTCTTTTTCTTCCTCAAATTTGACAAGCCTAATTTAATATCCCTGATTTCTTCCTTTATGTGAATACCTCATTTAACAGGAAATTGTTTCATATCAGAATTCTGAGTCACTACCTCTTTCTGCTACAGAATGTCTGAAAATATATCTCTGAGATTATCAGGAAATAGTTTTTCCATTTAATTTTGTTTCTGTACCTGAATAAGCTAATCCTATCTAGTGACGTTGCCCCAAAAAGAAAACCACTCTATTTCTCAAGTATTTTTCAATAATAATTAAAATACAATTTTTAAAGTTTTCTTCTTTATAAATGAAAAAAAGCTGATTAAAAGCTACCTATTTCAAAACTCACAGATTAAGTGACAGAGGAAATACAAGAATCCCTGACTTCTCAGAGCCAGAAGAACCAAGCTCCCTACCTGTTGATTTCAGTAACTAAGAGTTAATCTGTGAGGTAATCCTTGAGGAGAGGCTTTCCCTCTGTTACTTAAATATTTATTTCCTCATATTTTCTTTATTTTCTATGAACATTTATTACTTTTATATTAATTCATATTATTAAGCATTGCATCAAATTCATTCGTTTTGGACATACTACAACATGGCTCAAACAGCATTATAACGAATACTCTAAATACTGAAATCTGAAATAATTACTATTGAAACAGGAGATTCACACATATTTTTTATGCTGTTACTATGAACTCAGGTTGTAAGTTTCCATTTTGGCTCACATTTAAGATATTTATCCTTGATTCAATATTTTGCATACAAATTAAAATGCACTTATAGTTTTGCCTCCTAACTTACATGGAATCATTATAAGCAAAAGCAGAATACTACATTCCATACAAAGAGAATTCAGGCCTGTAATTCATGTTATATGGAAGAAGCTTTTTAAAAAATGCATCAAAAGCATAAAGTTAAAAATCTACACACCAAAATCTATCAAAATATATATAACTTTTGGCCCAGCAATTCCACTTCTGGGAATCAACCCCACAAAATCCCAACATACATAAAATGTATGGTCTAACACAACTTTGTCAGTGAAAACTGGAATCATGCTAAATGTCCATTGACAGAGAAGTAAATTAATTGCCATCATAAATTGATTTTATGATTGCCAATTGATTGCCATCATACTATGGGATGATACGTTGTTAAGAGTGTGATAAATTTGGGGCGTCTGGGTGGCTCAGTTCGTTAAGCGACTGCCTTCGGCTCGGGTCATGATCCTGGAGTCCCGGGATCGAGTCCCACATCAGGCTCCCTGCTCAGCAGGGAGTCTGCTTCTCCCTCTGACCCTCCTCCCTCTCATGCTCTCTGTCTCTCATTCTCTCTCTCGCAAATAAAAAAAAAAAAAAAAAAAGAGAGTGTGATAAATTTATATGCACCAACATATAATGATCGCAGATATAAGTAGCTGGGGAAAAACCCCAAATATGTATAGTGTGCTATGTTTAAAATGTAATTTATGTTTTTATAATACATTTAAAATGTAATTTATGTATTTTAATGTATGTGTATATAAATGTAGAGAAAGAGGTCTGAAAGTGTATACGCCAAATTGTTAAGTCTAAGATAAATGGAACTGAGGAATTAGGAGATGAAAGGAAAATTCCACATTTTTCTTCTATATATTTCTGTATTTGAATTTTGACAAGAATTGCATTCATGTTTTACTTGGTAATTTTAAAGTGAAATGAGAGGGCGCCTGGGTGGCTCAGTTGGTTAAGCGACTGCCTTCGGCTCAGGTCATGATCCCGGAGTCCCTGGATCGAGTCCCACATTGGGCTCCCTGCTTGGGGAGCTTCTCCCTCTGACCCTCCCCCCTCTCATGTGCTCTCTCTCTCATTCTCTCTCTCTCAAATAAATAAATAAAATCTTTAAAAAAAAAAAAAATAAAATAAAGTGAAATGAGAATAATTAAGAAAAAGGTATATTTTGAAAAAACTTTTTAAGAAACAAAAAGCCAAATGGTGACAGTTTTAATTAATATTAAACTAGCCACAAAGGTTCACCTTGTCAGTTGGAAAAGTATGGCCCATGCACCAGATACAGCCTGCTGCTTGTTTTCATACAGTTTGCAAGCTAAATGGAAGCTTATTTATACATGGATGTATACACATATACATTTGAAAATATATAGATGAAAATTACATAAAATTAAAATTTTAGTGTCCATAAAAGTTGAAAGAAGTTTTATTAGAAAACAGTTACAATCATTCATCATATATTCTTTGGCTGCTTTTGCACACCCACAGCAGAGCTGTCATTGCGACACAGGTCCACAGACTAAAATAGTTACTATCTGACCCTCAGAAAAGGTTTGCCAACCAATTTCAAAGAGTAACATATCATCATTATCAACTTTATGGAGAAATGTTCATAATCACATCCTAACGGTTTTTATTTTTTTATTTTTTTAAAGATTTTATTTATTTATTTGAGAGAGAGAGAATGAGAGAGCACATGAGAGGGGGAGGGTCAGAGGGAGAAGCAGACTCCCTGCCGAGCAGGGAGCCCGATGCGGGACTCGATCCAGGATCATGACCTGAGCTTAACCAACTGAGCCACCCAGGCACCCCATCCTAACGGTTTTAAGGAATGTCCCTAAACATACTGACTTTTTACTCTTTCAGTGTTCTGTCCAGCACAGAATATTCTTCAGACTCAATGCACATTCTTATTTATCCCTGCCTAGCCAAATAACTGACCCCTGATCAAGCATGACTTTGAGGGAGGGGGCTACACGGTTGACACACACAGGAACAAAAGTACTATCCGAACAAAAAGAAAAAATTTTACCTTAGTAAATACTCTGCATACACTATGGGCTCTGGCAAAATTTGCTCCAAAAATTCTTCACCTTCATCTCCTTTTGATTTCACATACTCACAAAGGACACGCCAATACAAAGCATTTTCAGGAGTTAATGTTTCCACTGGAATCAGTTTCCTTCATTTAAAAGGGAGAGAATAAGAGAAAGAATAATCTTAAAATTAAAAATTTGAATGGAGTATAAAAAATGGGAAATAAAAAGCAGACCTGATTTATAACCAGCATCCTTTTAATTGCAAAGTCATTAACTTATCCACCCACACACAAATGAAAATATTTAGAGCAAAAGAAAAAAAAAAAAGAATCAAACAAGCAAGCATACAATAGGGAAGCATGTCGTTGGACTTTCCATGGTAAGCTAATGCAAAAATCAAAGTAACAAAATGGGAAAAAAAAAGAATGCAGCTAAAGTAGTCTATGATAAGGTAGTGAGTTCTTACACAAGAGGGATAAATGAGAAAAGACATCCATCAGAGTAAAGAAAACACAAGTGAGGTAGATAAAAGCTATTGAAACAATCCGAAGTAATCAGAAAAGGACTAATTTTAATTGGAGAAGTTCACGAGTATCACATTTCAAGTAATGAATATATACCTGCCATCATTATTTTTACAGATTTCTGCCAGTTCATTAAGAGGAGCCACTGAAAATAAGGCATTGAGAACAGAGACTGCCACTTCAGGAGAATTTTCCACATCTAACCGATGAAGCAACTCTAATATATTTCCTTCAGTGAAACGTAACCAGCCTTGGAGAAGATGCTTCTGCATTGCTTGTTTCACAGCATCTGTTAAGTCATTTGAAATATAAGTGAACAGAGGCTCCCTCTAGCTTCCATTTCCTGTATTTTGTCTGTATTAATGACCTTTTATCAGATTAATGTTAACATAAAATCAGTATTTATAATAAAAATGAGAAGAGACTAAGAACAACAAAGAAAAATACCGAAGAAAAAAAAAGGTACAATAATATTGCAAAAATCACTATGCTGCTCACTTCTAATAAAAATGGAAAAGGCCCGGGACGCCTGGGTGGCTCAGATGGTTAAGCATCTGCCTTCGGCTCGGGTCATGATCCCAGGGTCCTGGGATCGAGCCCCACATCGGGCTCTGTGCTCAGCAGGGAGCCTGCTTCTCCCTCTCCCTCTGCCTGCCTGTCTGCCTACTTGTGATATCTCTCTCTCTCTGTCAAATAAATAAATAAAATCTTTAAAAAAAAAAAAAAAAAAATGGAAAAGGCCCAAACCAATACCCAATCACTATTACGGCCTACAAAAATATCTGCATTCCTTCTCCCCAGGGTTCATGGGGCTTCAGTGTTAGTCCTGACATTATGATAGCGATTATTTCACCTGATGCCTGACTTCATCTATTACACGATTGTTATTTGCAGTAGTGAATCATAAGCATGTATCACTGAACAAACTTTATTCTTAGTTTTTTAAGAAGTCATCCTCCCAGTCATTAGTCCTCTGACAATGTTTTGAAACTCAAGTTTTCTTGCTACAGCAAAATTAAGCTATCTTAGTCTTCTCATGGGGATTGGAAATTTAAGATATATTGTTCCTCATTACTCCTGTGAGCAGTCTCTAGTTTTAACAGAGAGAAAAAGAAAAAAAAAAAAAAAAAAGGAAAATTATGCTAGTCTGATCATTCTTAATTTCTGTCCCCACAGTACTTCACACATTCTTATCAAGCTATACACAAAGGGGAGGGTGCCTGGGTGACTCAGTCAGTTAAGAGTCTGCCTTTAGGTCAGGTCATGATCCCAGGGTCCTGGGATCAAGCCCTGTGTCAGGCCTTCTGGGGCGGGGTGGTTGCTTCTCCCTTTCCCTTGGCTCCTCCCCCCACTCTCATGCTTTCTTTCTTTCTCTCTCAAATACAAAAAAAAAGGAAGAAAGAAAAGATATACACAAAGGGAATAGATAGCACTTTTTTAGAAGAGAGAGTTGAAAAAGAGTTCCTGCCCTCTGATATAAATTAGCTATATAGCCTTGAGATATAGTTTCACCTGTAAAACACAGGAAAATTAAAACAAACACTGCTCCTTTAACTACCAGGATCTTTAACCCTTTGAAATGTTTTCTACATGGTGTACCAAGCGAAATTTTGACAGGCTGTGTCATTGATGGGCTTACTTGACATAATTAAGGACACATGTTTTCTAAATCTTCTAAGTCTACTAAACCAAAATCTGATGTTTTGTATATACAGAAGTCTATCTTACCTGATCTGTCATTAAGACCTTGTTGAAGGAGCATTACTCTCTGAGCAATGGACAGAGCTCTCATATGAACCTTTTCAGCTAAAACCTTAAAGAGATAGTAATAATAATAAGGTGGTCATTAAACTCAACATAGTCTACATATTTCATAACTAATAATATCTCCTTCATCTAAGAAAATAACCCAGAATTTCCAAAACAAATATCTGGTAACACATTTAATGTAATAAGAGTATACCTAAATTATTTATACTTTCTATCCATAAAAATCTCATAAAAATCCATAAAAATTGAAGAAATCATTATTACATGCCAAATATTTTTCAAAAGTATTTTAAGAATATGTCTACACAAGTTATTAGGCTTATTTACCTGATAAGCCAGCTTTCTGACAGTCTCTTTCACATCCTTGGTGCGCCCCACAATTTTTGGCAAAGTCTTTGCTGATGGTGCAATACATGATAACACTGCACGCCTAACTTCTGGATTTGAATCATTTTCAATCAAAGTAGCATATGCTAAAAATAGAGCAATACATTTTAGTACACTAAAGAAATATTATTTATTTAACCATAGTCATAAGATAGCCCACATTTTGGTATTTGACAATATCTTTAAAATAATAAAGATAATCAATTTTTAGTCTTACACATTTAATTTTAGCGGAAGATTTTTTTCCTGCCAACTTCCCTTAAAAAATAAATTAAGAAATTTGTCAAAAGACTAGGCACAGGGGCGCCTGAGTGGCTCAGTCGTTAAGCGTCTGCCTTCGGCTCAGGTCATGATCCTAGGGTCCTGGGATCAAGCCCCACATCGGGCTCCCTGCTCCGCGGGAAGCCTGCTTCTCCCTCTCCCACTCCCCCTGCTTGTGTTCCCTCTCTCGCTGTGTCTCTCTCTGTCGAATAAATAAATAAAAAAAATCTTAAAAAAAAAAAAAAAAGACTAGGCACAAAGTCTAAAACTAAAAACAAAGAGCCCTAAAGATCATGTAAAATCCATCAATAAGATTGTCTTTTTTTTTTTTTTTAAGATTTTATTTATTCATTTGAGAGAGAGCACATGAGAGGGGGGAAGGTCAGAGGGAGAAGCAGACTCCCTGCTGAGCAGGGAGCCCAATGCAGGACTCCATCCCAGGACTCCAGGATCATGACCTGAGCCAAAGGCAGTCACTTAACCAACTGAGCCACCCAGGCACCCCGAGATTATGTCTTTGTTACTCTTCAAAATCTAAAAGAAAGCCTAGTATAGCAGGCAGTTTATTTTAAAGTAATAAGGTTTTATAAAGGGCTCATTATTTTGATTTTTAATGAGTCCTAAAGAAGGATGTAACTTCTAATTTCACTCCCTGAAACAAAATCCATTTCCTGTTATTTAAATGTTTATTCAACTCTACTTCTCAAATTTTCCCCAGCTTTATAATTACTTGTTGACTATTAAACATTTATTTTGTACAATATTATTATGTGTACCATTTAACACCAAAAAATATTAACTATCATCAGTTATCAAAACTGATTATAAAGCTATTAACAGGGACAAAGAAAAAAATGAAAATGTGCCCAAAATGTAGCTAGGCATGTATGGAAAAGTGGAATATGACTATCTTTACGAGCCCAGAGGTAGAGAAAAATTTCTTAAATAAAAGAAAGTGCAAATCAAAAGAAAGAAAGGAAGAAAAGGGAAAAAAGTGCAAGTCATAAAGGCAGAGACTGATTAATTTTGACATTAGGAATTTCTGTCTAACAGAAGATATCCCAAAGAGGGTGAAACAAAGAGCCATCTAAAGTTGAAAAAAATCTACAATTCACACAACTCCAAAATTTCTTTCCAGAATAAGAACTCCAGTAAATCAATATGACAAACAGAAAAATGAGAACACATTAATAGGCATTATATAGAAGAAATACAATTGACTGTTAAATATATGAAAAGATGCATAAAAGGATATATTTCATACATACAACCAGATAAACAAAAATTTTTAAATCTGACAATATCTAACACTGGAGAGAATATGGATAAATGAATGTTTTTATGCACGGTTACTGGGAGTATTAATTAGTAAACTGTTTTGTAGAACACTTGTACCTTATCTAATAAAGCTGAATGTGCACATATCCTAACAAATCCACCCTAGGTACACACCCCAGAAAAAACTATTTAAGCTGTGCACCAGAAGCCATGATAAGGAAGTTCATAGCAACAACACCATTTTTTTCAGAACAAAATAACTGGAAACCAGATAGTCTGTCATTATTAGAATAATTAGCTGTGTTAACAATTCATTCGACAGAATGTTTAAGACAGTAAATATATCAACATGGATGAATGTTACAATTATAAATAATTATTAGAAAGCACAGAAAAGTATGACTCATATAGCATACAAAACGATAGGCAAAACTTTTTAGAGACACACACATGTGGCTAATTGTTTAAACAGAAAGACAAGAGAGTAATTAACCCAAAATTCAGGATAATCGTTAACTCTGAGAGTGGGGTGGGACGTAAGGTAGTCTTCAAAGGCACTGATGATGTTCTATTTTTTTAAGTTGGGTGGTGGCTACTTGAGTATTTTTAAAAATCATATATATATATATATATATATATATATATATATATATGACCTATACTATTCCACATAGAGAAAAAAAAAAACAAAACACCTCTCTACTGAGAATTTAACAAAGTCAAGGAAACTGAAAAAGATTTTAGGAAGCTACACATACCATTAACGACTGGACATTCATCATCTTTGGGATCCTGAAGTCGTGAAAGAGCCAGAACTGCCTGTATCCTCACATTTGGAATTTTATCTTTCAATCTAATAAGCATGGCTTCATTAATTTTATCAAACAAATCATCATCAATCTGGGCATTTTCTGGCATACTTCCCAAGAGCTTGTTTATGAGCTGGCACACTCTAAATCTAACTGCATTGCTGTTTGCTTCATGAGACTGAAACGGGAACAAATCAAAATTTATTTGCAATCACATACCATTTGAATTGTTTAGAATTCAGGAAGTTACAAAAGTAATTCATTACTCGCAGAGAAACTACAATGCTACCTTAATCCATATGCATACTAAAAGTATTAAAATATGCACAATCCAGGGCGCCTGGGTGGCTCAGTTGGTTAAGCGACTGCCTTCGGCTCAGGTCATGATCCTGGAGTCCCGGGATCGAGTCCCGCATCGGGCTCCCTGCTCGGCGGGGAGTCTGCTTCTCCCTCTGACCCTCCTCCCTCTCATGCTCTCTGTCTCTCATTCTCTCTCTCTCAAATAAATAAATAAAATCTTTAAAATATATATATATACATATACACAATCCAAAGTAAGTATAAGCTAAATTACAAGAGCATACTTCTCTTTGTAGGAATTTTTACTTTACTTCTAAAATAAAGAACTCATTTATTTATTTATTTATTTTAAAGATTTTATTTATTTATTTGACAGAGAGAATGAGATAGAGAGAGCATGAGAGTGGGGAGGGTCAGAAGGAGAAGCAGACTCCCTGCTGAGCAGGGAGGCCAATGTGGGACTCCGTCCGGGGACTCCAGGATCATGACCTGAGCCGAAGGCAGTCGCTTAACCAACTGAGCCACCCAGGCGCCCCTAAAATAAAGAACTCATTTAAAATGATGTGAGAAGTGGCAAAGAGAGGTCATTAAAAACTTAACGCCGCATTTATTTTAAGTCCATTTCTTAATCTTAATGACAGTTCTAGTATTTCCTATAAAAGGCAGACTCATCCACATCTTCTCAGTTACTAAATACTTCATTCTCTAAAACATACAAACTCCCATGGACCTTTTAATATAATAAAGTTTTCTACAACACTTCCCCAAAGTTCCAGTTTTCATACCTTTAAAAGAAAGGTAAACAAATAATTTAAAATGCCACCATCTTCCTCTTCCTCATCATCTTCCATATCTGACTGGTGAAATGAAGTAACAAACTTGGCTGCAAAGTCTACTACTCTCTCCACCGCTGGTTCACGTTTATAGACCACCATAGCATATTTAAGATAATGGACAAACTCCTCATGAAAAACCGTTTTAACATCCATCTGAAAGACAAAAGAGAAACCCTGCACAAACTGCACTGATATAATCCCTTTTTCCCAACAGGACCCTAAGACTGCTTAAAGTACTAGTCGTAACTCAAACTGAAATCATTATTTAGTAAACTCAGGTGAGTTTCCAAACTATCAAAGGAAAAAAAATTGCACAGATCTCTCTCCAGAGAAATGCACTTCTCCAAGGAAGAAAACAAACGTGAATGTTGACAGTGAAAGGATCCCTTTGACTTTAATACCCTCTAAATTCTCAATATGCCTTGGTGCCAGTTTAGTAAAAATATGCTTCTTCATGAAACAACTCAAAATCAACAATGGCTTTCATATTTTACCACATTTAGCCTTACTCTTACACAGCGATTTCCTTTTGATACAACGTTCACATCCTATCTCATATCCTGAAACCCGATTATACTGACTTACAATTTTTCTTGGACCTCAAGGTAATTTTCCCGAAACTCACTGTCCTGTTCTTCTCACGGCACCACTCAAAACAGCATTTACTTAAATAGGAAGAGCCGGGTCCTAATGGTTAATTTGTTATTTGGTGATTCGATTCTATTTAACTGTGAATAATCTGGCGTTCCTGATGTACATGGGCGGTGACCTGAGGGACAACAACCGCTGAGCCACCCCGTTCAGGATCCACCCAGCGGCCCAACACTTGGCGCCCGGTCGCCCCGGTGCTCGTAAACGTTGCTCTCCAAAAATTCACAAAGAATTAACGGTCCGCGCCGGAGGCCGCTGGGGAGAGGGGGTGCCCGGGCGACCTGGGGCAGGTCTCCAGACCTCTCCGAACTGGGTCGGGAGGTTCGGAAGGTTGGAGTCCGGAGGGCCACGGGAGGCCCCTGGGGGACGCTGGTCCGGGGAGGGCGAGGGGCGGCGGCCGAGGCCCGGGGCCGCGCTTACCGTGCGGTAGGTGCGGCTCAGCGCCACCACCAGCTTCGCCTGGTTCTGGTGCGGCTGCTGCGCCAGCTGAAAGGCCTCCTTAACCGGCAGCAGCTTCTTCTCCGCCCCCATGGCGCCGGCACCCGGCCGGGACGAGCCCCGTCCGCTCCGGGCTGCAGGGTGCCTACGGCCCGCAGGTCAAGTTTACAGAGCCGCCGCGGGTTCCGGTCAGCAGGCAGCTGAGCACCCAGGGTGGAGTTACCGCCAGAGCGTTCAAATAATTCCCGCGGGGGAAGGAAATACCGCGAGACTGCCGCGAGAGCGGGAAGAGATGGATCCCTCCCTGAATTACGGCAGTTTGGGCGCATGCGCTTAGGATCTGCGCCGCGGTTTTCCGAGTGGGAAGTGGCGTTTGTAAGGGGAGGGGGCGTCGGCTCGTCTGCTTGCCGAGCCGTGGTGCTACTGTCCGGGCGGAGCTCGTGGTGCTAGACCTAGCTGGGTCGTGCAGCTGGGCGTGGGGCGAGAAAGAAGCAAGGATCCTCCATGGGTGAGAACAGGGAATCCGCTGAGGGGAACAATCCCTGCTCCGGCTAAAGGGGAGCAGGGGATCCCGGGCGTAAGGGTTCGTGTGGAGATCCGTCGAGAAGGGAAAGAGGGCGTGCTGGAGGCTCGGCAGCGTCCCGGCTTCCGCTGAGAAAGCGGACGTTCCCGATCTGCTGAGGGGGACGTTACGAGGTGTCCTGGTGGAAGCGGGCCTCTGTCATTTTAAACCTTAGGGCCTCGGCTGGTGGAGGGTCTGCAAGAGGGAGGCAGTCTGGGAAGAGCTGCGAAGAGAGGCATGATTCAATTTAGACCTAGCTTACTCTAGAGGCACCAGCTTTCGAGGCCTAGTTTACAAAGGTGCATGACGACAACGTATTCAACAAAGGAGAACTCAGGGGGTGGTGTTCAGGGTGGTGGTAAAGATGAAGAAATTTGGAGTGCCTTCGAGCAGGAACTAGGTCTTTAAACTTAAAAAAAAAATGGTATTCTATCAGACGAAAACGAACATCTCTGTACCTTTTTCCTTTTGAATTACCTTCTCTCTCCTGCATTAACGGCTTTTCTGAACTCAACTGTTTCATGTATGAATGACATATGAATAAGTCTCTGAATAAATATACTGTGTTGTTTTCATGTTCTAACATTATATAAATCATCATTTGCAAACAAAATAATCCTTTGCAACTTGCTTTTTTCAATTAATATTGTTTTTGAGGTTTATTCATATGGATACTTTCATAATACTAACTTACACCTTATGGACCCTTATTTGCCAGACACTGTTGTAAGCACTTTACTTCATTCAGTCCTTACAAACAGCCCCAGTAAGGTAACTTCTAGCTTCTTTTAAGATGAGGAAACTGAGGCACAGACGGTTTCTATAGTATTCTGTTCTATGAATATTTGATAATTTATTCATCCATTCTCTTGCTTCATATTATACATACAACGTAAGTATTCAAATGCTAGTTAAAGTAATGAATATGGTAGCATTTGGGTTGCCTATAATTTCAAAATTACCAGGAGGTCCAATTCTGAAAAGGCAAAAAAGGATGAGTATTTTAGGTTAATCAGCTGGAACAAAAGCATAGAGGCCCAAGAATCTATAGGATATACTGCTAGCATAATCTCACTGTAGATAAAATGTAGAATGCCTGGAAAGCTGTGGAGAAAGCTAGAAAGGGCATTAATTTATTAACCAAATATCCAAATATTATTATTTCAACATATAATCAGCAAATTATTAATGAAATGATTTACATTCTCTTTTTTTCCCTACTAAGTCTTTGAAATTCGGTGTTATTTTACACTAGCCACATTTTGGGTGCTCCATAGACACATGGGGCCAGTGACTACATTATTGGATAGTGTGAAACGATTCTTATTTTGAGAACCACTGTATATGCCATTTGTTTTTCATGTAAAATTGGCAAACTAAAAATTAGAACAAACTAACATTTGGAGACATTTTTCTTATTTTGTGGCCTTTAATTGCTCAGCTCTTTTTATGCCCTGGGTCCCTGCTACCTATGTTCCTCTGAATGTGAAGTTTCTAACAATATTATTTCCTTTACTGTATTTTATTTGGTGATTTCTCCACAAATGAGAGATGACTTTGTATCATTTTGTCAGTTACTGAGGGATGAGGCATCTGGCCACCAGAGGTCAGCCTAACTATTTTGATTAGCTTTTTTTAGGATTTAATAACATGTTTTTGTTTAGTATTTTTTGAACATAAAAAGATGGATTACAAAATGAAAAGGCAACGTTTGGAATGGGAGAAAATATTTGCAAACTATATTTCCCTTAAGGGGTTAGTATCCAAAATATATAAGAAACTCTTACAATTCAATAGCAAAAAAGCAAAAACCCAATTAAAAAATGAGCAAAAGACCTGAATAGACATTTTTCCACAGAAGACATACAGCCAACAAGTATATGAAGAAGTGCTCAACATCACTAATCGCCAGAGAAATGCAAAGCAAAACCTCAATGAGATATCACCTGACACCTGTTAGGATGACTATTAGAAAAAAAATCAAAAGATAAAAAGTGTTAGAATGTGGAGAAAAGAGAACCTTTATACATGTTGGTGGGAATGTAAATTGATACAGCCATTATATAGAAAACAGTCTGGAGTTTCCTCAAAAAATTAAAAAGAGAAATCCCAGTGTGGTCCAGCAATCCTATTTCTAGGTATATATCCAAAGGAAATGAAATCACTATCTCAAAAGATGTATCTGCACCCCTGTGTTTATTGCAACATTAGTCATAGTAGCCAAGATATGGAAACAACATAAGTGCCCATCAATGGAAGATGTGATTTATATATAATGGAATACTCTTCAGTCTTAAAAAGGAAGGAAATCCTCCTATTTGCTACAACATGGGTCAGCCTACAGGATATTCGGCTAAGTGAAATAAGTCAGACACAAAGGCAAATATCGTATAATCCTGCTTATAGGTGGAATCTAAAAAAATCAAACTCCTAGTAACAGAGTAGAATGGAAGTTATCAGGGGCTTGGAGGAAATTGGGAGATGTTGGACAAAGTAAAAACTTGGAGTTATAAATTCTGGAGACCTAATGTACAACCTGGTGACTATAGTTAGTAATAATGTATGTATACCTGAAATTTGCTGAGAGTAGATCTCAAGTGTTCTCACCACACACAAGAAAATGGTAACTCTGGGGTAATGGTTGTATTAATAGCTTGTTTGCAGTAATCATTTCACAATATATACATGTATCAAAACATCACATTGTACATGTTAAATATATACAACTTATCAATCATACCTCAAAGCTGGTAAAAAAAAAAGGTGCTATATTAAACTTAAACATTCTAGTCTCACTGCCTTAAAGCTCACCTGTTTCTTGAGTTTTGCTTTTAGTTTTGTGGGAAAAAAGAACAAGTGATACCTGGGAATAAATTTCTTCCTGTCCTTGGTAAATTTAGTTTAGTTGAAGATATAACAAAACTGAAGATTTTGTAAGGTAAGGCTATGTAGTTCTGAAATTATGGTAAAATCATTCTTTAAAGGTAAATTATACATAGGAATAAATGGAATAGCTGTGTTTAATTCAGTTTTGATGTGGGAAAATTATACATGTGGATTATAAAGGAGTAACAGTGATGGGTTCACTCTAGAATTTACATGTGCCCCCAAAGAGACTTTGTCTTATTTCTGCTAAAAAAGTAGAGTGGGCCTTTTAAAGAATGCTTTGAGTAACACGATAACAAGAAAAGCCCAATAATGATCTTGCAGATGGAATCTAGTAAAAAATGTAGCAATATTGATCCTGCTTTAAAATTTTTTTCATTTGTCTTTGTGCAACATATTACCCGATCACCTGAATATAATTGGGAATTTTTATCTTCATAGAATAAAAATAGAACATGCTTGTATAGTTACTTACAGCAGACCTTTGTCATTCTCTCATTTTCTTTCAAAAGACATCCTAAGCCGTAGTATGTGCCAGACATTTTGGGGAACAGAGTTAAGTAAAAAGAATGTGTAGAAGCCAGAGAAATGTTCTTCAGAGGAGTATTGACCTGAAGCCATACCATATAATGTTATTACCACAATTCAGTGTGTATTTGAAACTAGAGATGTTTACTAACTCATTTTGAAAATCACTCCTACAGAATGGCATAAATGGGATGTTGATATTTTGGTTTTTGCTTTTTTCATTTAGAGTTCTGCCTTTAGTACATCCATGTTGCGACGTATACGTCTAGTGTGCTTTTACCACATTTTGCTTATCCACTCCTTCAGTGATGGAAACCTTCAATACTTCTAATTCCTTACCATCAAAGATGAAGCTTCAGAGTACATGTTGGTCTTATGGAGAACTTCTTTACTATATATATACACAAGAGTAGAATTGCTGGATCATGAGATGTGCAAATAGTTTGGCCAAATGATACAGCCAGATTTCTCTTCCCCAGACTATATCACCAGCAATACTGGTTCCTACAGGTCTTGTTCCTTTGTCTCCTCACTAACACTTGGCATTGTCTTCAGCTTTCTAATTTTTACCAAATAGAATAATGTGATAACTCTTTACTCATCATATGGCTAATGGCCGGTTGATTTTCTCTTCTGTAAATTGAATATTTTTGTCCTTTGCCCTTTTTTTATTGAGGTTGCTATCTTTTTGTTGTGGATTTGTAGTTAACTTAGTTCTTGATATCTTTAGTTCAATCCAGAAATAATTTTGATGTGATTGAATTCATCATTTTTTGGTCTTGTGCTTTATGGTTTTTTCATTTAAAAGTCTCCTGGGGGGGGCGCCTGGGTGGCCCAGCTGGTTGGGCGTCTGCCTTCGGCTCAGGTCATGATCCCAGCGTCCTGGGATGGAGTCCTGCATCGGGCTCCCTGCTCCTTGGGAGCCTGCTTCTCCCTCTGCCTCTCTCTCTCTCTGTCTCTCATGAGTAAATAAATAAAATCTTTAAAAAAAAAAAAAAAAGTCTCCTGGGGGGTGTCTGGGTGGCTCAGTCAGTTGGGCCGCCTACTCTTGATTTCGGCTCAGGTCATGATCTCGGGGTGATGAGATCAAGCCACACGTGGGGCTCTGTGCTCAATGTGGAGTCTGCTTGTCCCTCGCCCTCTGCTCCTCCTGCCCTCCCCACACTCATGCTCTCTCTTTCTCTCTCTCTCTCTCTATCTCTAAAATAAGTAAAATCTTAAAATAATAATAATAAAAATAAAAGTTTCCCTGGCCCCACATCACAATGATACTCTATATTCATGTATTATGTTCCTTTAACTTCATAGTTTACCATAATCACTTAGGTCTTTCATCCAACGTGAGTCCTCCTTTGTATGTAGCATTATATATATATAAATTATATATATATATAAACACTAAACATTGGTTTTCTTCATGTAATGAGCCAGCTTTACCAATATTATGTACTAAATACTTTCATTACTCCTTGATTTATTTGCAAACTTTACTTTGTACTACATTCCAAAACTTCATATGGCTGTATTTCTGAGTTTTGTTCTGTTCGATTGGACTATTTGTTCCAATACACTAACTCTACCCTCTTTTAATTTCTGTGACTTTTGTAGTATGTGTTAATATCTTGTAGGCCAAGAACCCCCTTCACTCTTCTGTTTAAATCATTGGTTTGGCTGCATGTGCAATTTTATTCTTTTCATATTGGGATTGTATAAATCAATTTGGAGAAACTTTTTATAATATTCATTTGTTCCATCCAAGATTTTTAAATCATCTTTATGTCCTTTATTAGAATTTTACATTTTTCATAGAGGTCTTATATATTATTAAGTAGTTCCTAGATCCTAGTTTCCTAGTTTGGGTTTTTTGTTTTGTTTTTTTTTCTCACTGTGGTGAAGGGTATATATGTAATACATTTTTTTAGTTAGTATTGCTTGTGTAGAAGTTAAAAGTTCCTGGGTTCAAATCCACATCCTGTCACGTAGTAGAGGTATGGCCTTGGGCAGGTAGCTTAAACCTCATGTTTAAAATGAGGTAGTTAAAAAAGTACCTGTCGGGCGCCTGGGTGGCTCAGATGGTTAAGTGTCTGCCTTCGGCTCAGGTCATGATTCCAGGGTTCTGGGATCAAGTCCCGCATCGGGCTCCCTGCTCCTTGGGAGCCTGCTTCTCCCATTGCCTCTCTCTCTGTCTCTGTCTCTCATGAATAAATAAATAAAATCTTTAAAAAAAAAAAAAAAGTACCTGTCTTGTAGGGTTGTTAGGAGAATTTTAAATGAGTTAACATTTGCAATTCCTAGAATAGTAAGTGGTATATACTAAATAATAATGAATATCCATAGATTATTCTTAAATCCAGGAACTTCGTTGAGCTCTTTTATTAGCTTTAATTGTTTATGTTAGTTTTTTTAATTAGATGACCATATCTCTTTTCTTCCAGTTCTGACACCTGTCATTTATTCTTTTTTTTATTTTATTCTTATTTTTATAATATTGATTAGGACTTTTGGTACTCATCAGACAATATCAGGCATCATGGTTATCCTTATCTGATTTTATTTTTAGAGGGAATATATCTAAAATTTCTCATTCAGGTTATATTTGCTGAAAGTTTTTGATGATAACCTTTACCAAGTTAAGAGGGTAACTTTTCTGCCTAGATTGGTAAGAGTATTTTGTTTTGTTTTTGAAGGAACTAAGAAAGGTTAAATATACACAGTTGATAAAATAATCGTTTGTTTGGGGTTTTTTTGGCTTTATTTTCTTACCATGGTGACATATATTTATAAATTTTTTGAAGTTGAGGTATTCTTCCTTTCCCTGGGATAAGTTCTATGTGATAGCATATTCTTTTTTTTCTTTAATCTATTAGATTTTGTTAGGTAATATTTGGAATTTTTGCAAGTGAAATGAGCCTGTACTTTTTTTATTTGGTTCATCTTTAGGTTTGGAATTAATATTTCATTATCCTTATAAAAGGAGTTTGTCAGTTTATATGCTTTTTTCTTTTTTCCGAAACAAATAGGTGTTAATTTCCTTGGAATTTTAGTGGAACTCACTTATAAAACCGTATAGGCCTAGTGCTTTTAAAAGGAGGTTGGTACCTTTTCATTTTCTTTAACACTTACTGGTTTGTTCTATTCAAGTTATCTACTTCTTCCTATGTGAGTTTTAGCATTTTCTTCCAGAATTCAGCCATTTCACCTAGATTTTCACATTTAGTATATATTTGTTTTTTTTTTTTTTTAAGATTTATTTATTATTTATTTGTCAGAGAGAGAGCACAAGCAGGGGAGAGCGTCAGGCAGAGGGAGAAGCAGGCTCCCCACCGAGCAAGGAGCCCAATGCGGGACTTGATCCCAGAAGCCTGGGATCATGACCTAAGCCAAAGGCAGACGCTTAACCAACTTAGCCACCCAGACGTCCTCTGGGTTTTTTTTAAGATTTTTTTTTTTTTGACAGAGAGAGATACAGCGAGAGAGGGAACACAAGCAGGGGGAGTGGGAGAGGGAGAAGCAGGCCTCCCGCGGAGCAGGGAGCCCGATGTGGGGCTCAATCCCAGGACCCTGGGACCATGACCTGAGCCGAAGGCAGGCGCTTAACCACTGAGCCACCCAGGTGCCCCCGTCCTCTGTTTTTTTATTTTTAATCTCTTTTTGTGTTGTTAAGTCTCTCAGTAAGTTTCACTAGTTCATTTTTCTTATTCATATTTTCACAAAAACCATCTTTTAGTTTTGTCAGTCTTTTCTATTCTCATATGCTATTTCATTTCTGCCTTTATTTCCTTCCTGCTTATTTTGCTGTTGCTCTTTTCCATTATTTTGAATTGAATGCTTAACTTGTAGATATTTAAACTTCTTCATTTTCTCGTCAGTGTATTCAAAGCTATAATTTTCTTTCAGGTACGTGTTTCCCATGTCCCACAAATTTTGCTTTGTATGGTTTATATTATTCGGTTTTAGTATTTAACATCCTTTATAATTTCCATTTTAACCCATGAGTTATTTAGCTTCCCAACATAGGATTACTTTTAACTATCTTTTAATATTCACCTTTATTGCATTTTGGTCAGAGAATTTAGTCTGAACGAAATAGACCCTTTACAACTGGTTATACTTTATAACCTAATACATGATCTATTTTCATGTGTGTATATGTGCACTCTCAAACATCTATTCAGTTTGGTATAGAGTTCTGACTACTGATAAAATACCTAAAGTATATTAATATTTTGATTGTTTTCAGGCTTCTTATATCTCCTGCTTATATAGTTCTGTCCATTGTTACTTGAGAAATTTTGAGGATGTGCTTGCAGGATCATAAACATTTATGATGAGTACTATATAATTTTATTCCGTTCCTTTTACTGATATTATTGTCCATCTTTGTCCCTTATATGTTTTGACTTGAAATCTTTTTTGTTGGGTATTAAGATTGCTATCTCAGCTTTATTTTGGTCCACAGTTGCCTGATACATCTTTTTTCGTTCTTTTATTTTTTTGCCTTTCTATGTCTTTTTGCTTTGAAGTATCTTCTGTTAATTGCATATTATTGAATCTTGTTTTGTTTTTTTAATCCAATCAGAGTGTCTTTTAACTGTGAGTTTAAACTGTTTACATTCATTGTAATTTCTACTATATTAAGAATTACACCTGGAAGAAAAAAAAAATTTACACCTGCCATCTTCTCTCATATCTATAGAGTATGGTTATATGACCACAACCTTTGGGTCCCAACAAGAGTCGCATGCAGCTCTACAACCAGAACAGGTCCCCTAAAACTAATCCCAATAAGCACATCTAAAGGGAAAAAAGTACCTTTTATAGCTCTCTATTGAGTTTGGGGCATAAGGGAACTGCTCTTGCAGAAGTAATTTTCTGGGCTAGAACAGTGTACTAAAAAATAAACTGATCCAGGGCGCCTGGGTGGCTCAGTTGGTTAAGCGACTGCCTTCGGCTCAGGTCATGATCCTGGAGTCCCGGGATCGAGTCCCGCATCGGGCTCCCTGCTCGGCAGGGAGTCTGCTTCTCCCTCTGACCCTCCTCCCTCTCGTGCTCTCTGTCTCTTATTCTCTCTCTCTCAAATAAATAAAATCTTTAAAAAAATAAATAAATAAATAAATAAATAAACTGACCCAGATATGTACCAATAAATGATTAGAATGACACCAGGCTCTCCTTCCCAGGAGTCATCCCCAGTAGAAAAATCTGCCTAAGACTATGAGCTAGAGATGGAAAAGCCCAGGAAGTGTTCATGTTCAGCATCTGTGTTCTTAAATACTATATAAAGTTAGAAGGACAGTAATGTTACCCATTGCTTTCAAGCTTTAATATCATTTCTCTAGTCTTCTCATTCACAGGTTAAAGCTACCTTTCCAGATAGTTCAACAACTAAGTCACCAGCTTCCAAGGGCATTTGTACCACCTATGGAAAACATCGGATCCGTGTACACCAGATGTCCCTGACAACTCATCCCACCATCTCCCTGAAGAAAATTTGCACCAACAGCGGACAAGAAAGGCAACCATTGTTTCTTTTATTACCAAGTAGATATAACATCCCTGCCAACAAAACAATACATAAAGTGTCTCTTCACAGTATCACGACCAGTTGAGAACATGCTAAGAAAATCAGCTTGCCTAGATGAGGACCCCTTCTCTTCTTGGGTAGCCAGGATTTGAAGGAGAGACTCTGACCTGTACCACTGGTAAGTGACTTAACACTTTTACACACTGAACTGGTCCTGAGAACTGAGATGTCTTCTTTGTAAGTGAAGAATATGCAACATAATCTTGAAGAACTGCACAGTGATATGAGCCAGAGGCATATTGTGTGTGTGTGTAATGGACTGACAAATTAATCTTGTTGAAGGATTTTTCATCTTTTGTTTCTATTTGCTAGTTTTAGTCAGTATTTTGCTGGCTTAGATTGTTACCTTTTTCTGGTTTCTGCTTCTAATCTAATGGGTCCCAGAAATCCCTCTCCTGACCCTTTATCAGAATCAGAAAGTGAGGAAGAAGAAAGTGCTAACTACCTAAATGAGAGTTCTGGGCAAGAGTGGGATTCCTCTGAAGAAGAAGACCCTGTGGTGCCCAACCTCACACCTCTTGAGAGTCTTGCCTGGCAGGTTAAGTGCCTTTTAAAATACTCTACAACTTGGAAACCTTTAAATCCTAATTCCTGGTTATATCATGCTAAACTCTTGGATCCAAGCACACCAGTCCATATACTTCGGGAGATAGGTCTAAGACTCTCCCATTGCTCCCATTGTGTACCCAAACTGGAACCAATTCCCGAATGGCCTCCTCTGGCTTCTTGTGGAGTCCCACCTTTTCAAAGGCCCCTTACAAATGCCAGTCGGCTTTCTAGAGATCATGCCACTCTAAACGGAGCACTGCAGTTTGCCACCAAACAGTTAAGCCGGACATTGAGTAGAGCCACTCCCATACCTGAATACCTAAAACAGATCCCTAATTCATGTGTTTCTGGTTGTTGCTGTGGCTGGTTAACTAAAACAGTTAAGGAAACAACCCGCACTGAACCCATCAACACTACCTACTCGTATACTGACTTCCAGAAGGCAGTTAACAAACTCCTAACCGCATCACTCTAAAGACCCACCATTTGTTCTGCTATCTCTCATATTGCTAACTGAGAAGGAAGTACAAAGTCACACACGCCATAGTTGAAAAGCAAATGCCTTCTCAACCAAACCATACCCTGTCCTAACAAGCCCTTAAGTACTACCAAGTACAGTGGTACCATAACTCAGCTACAAAAAATGCGTGGTGATCATGCCCTTTGACAGACCCTGTGGATAAAATGAAAGCTTGAGTAGAAAATTAGACAAAAGGGACCATATTACAAAAGTTTAGTTGACTGTTGTCCACACTCAGTTCTCCCCCTCCGCCACCCGCCCAATTTATTCTGCCTTTCTGAATGGACTCTTAACCAGATATTTCATTGTGAACGGGAAGGAAGAAGTAGTAGGTCCCTACCTAACCTTCAGAATAGCCAGTGGGGAAGAGGGAACTTAGCTATTCTCAATAACACCTCTCTGAGCATACTCTTTTCTAACAATTTCTATGAGATAGTTGCATTAATTGGAATTCCTTAGACAAAAGAAAATGATGGGGCTATGAATTTATCTCCCAGCTTTTATACAGATAGGCCTATATATGGCACCCTTTAGGGTTCCTATTTTGGAGGGGAGGGAGTGAAGTTTCAAACCAAGGCTGCACTGCTTCAGGCCTATTACAGTACCTGCAGCTACAGTATAAACCTTTATACATTAAACTCCCACCAGGCTGTCTCTAGCTACACTGGCCTAAAAATTGTAACCAGGGGTTAAACAGACACCTGTTCTGCGGGGAATAGGTTTCCTGCATCTGGGCATTCAGACTTTGGTCAAGAGCAGATCACATTTTAAAAGACCAATGGGAAAGGATTAAAAGCATTTATGCTTTCAATATTAACTGCTAATGAATTAAAATATTTCATCTGCATAATGTTCTCAGCAGTACTTTATGCACTGTTTACATCCATTGCAAACTTTTCAGGAACTCTTCTAACTTTAAAGAACTTAGCACTACAGAAAATCTCAGCCTAATACAATCAGAAGTTGGAGTTTTTAGCAGCATTGTTTTTCTACATGGATTAGCTTTAGATTTTCTTCTAGCTCAACAAGGAAGAGTATGTACCCTTATAAATGAATCTTGCTGCATTTATTGAAATGAGTCAAAACATAGAAATCATACATAAAAGAAGATTCATGGGACCAATAAATCTTTTCACACACCTACACTAGAGTGAAACCTGTGTGTGTGATCCTGGTTGACGGGGCATCTAAAAGGAATCAGAAAATAGATTGTTAAAGATCCTATATCCTTTCATTTTACTTTTACTTTTTTCCTGTTCTCCATAATTAAGTGCTGTATATGATGTGGCATCAAAAAAATGGAAGCATTAATGGAATCACAAATTCTCTACATGTATAGCAACTTCAAGGAGAGAGAAGAATGTTTATAATCCAATGAGAATTTCTGCTGAGCCTTAGTTGTCATGTCTTGAGGGAAAAAGAGGGACCTGTAGTAGGTAGGAAAGATACTTGTGAATGGAAAATTACTGAACTGAAAACATACCATACTGTTAGTGTAATTGAATGTATCAGAAACTGTTCCTATGTAGAGATGTTCTGTGAAATTGGGTTTTTTAAATGTTATAAAAACCTGTTTCCCTTTTTTTTTTTTTCCTTAAGGGGAAGGTGGGAAGAGGTAGGGAGGTCTGAAAATTAAAATATATTGATGTTTATGTAACCATAATATGTTTCTTTTTCTCTGTGTGTGTATATAAAAGTGCCTTGCTCCTGAAGCATTTTTGCTATTCATTCCGAAAGGAAGCCTTTCCCCAGCTCTGCAGCTGAATAAACCAACAGCTTTGTACGTGCTGAAGAGTATGGTCATTTGTTCTCAACAAATGAAGTAGATCCTGCTTTGCTTAAGGCATATTCAACATTCACTAAATGCTAAATAGAGTCAACTGATCAGATAGATACATACATACATACAATATAGTGTCTCTGATAGGAGGTGACTTGGGAGCTCTAGATAATGAAACATACTTGTAAAAGAAAATGTCAGATATTCAGTCAAGACCCGGATTTGAACCCATTTGTTTGTATATGTTAGGTAATTACGGGTTACACAAAATGAGAGATACCTGGAAAAGCCTTAAGCCTTTACTTCTTTTTGTGTGCCATGGGCGTGGGGTTAGGGGTGGATTTACCACTTGGCACACTCTCCCTCGAAGGGATTAGGAGAAATGACAAATTTACTGTGTTTTCATAGAAATATTTATCTAAGGAAACAGGATTTCTAAACCAAGAGACATTAATGTTATAAAGGTACTGTTCTCTTGCAATGCAGATAGGCAGCCTTCTTTTGTTAAAGCGATCCAGATACTTTGAGCACAGAAGACCATAATCATGTCTTTTAAACCCATCAGCTTTCCTAAGAGAAGGAAAAAATTGATACATGTCTGATGAGGGACAGATTTAAGTCGCCTTTCGGGGATTATCCTCCTGGGGCTCCTATCACAAGTATCCATTTAAAAAAATTTATCTATGATGAATATAATGTTCTGTTATTAGAGTAGATTATCAAAGCTGTTAGGGAATTTAGAAATCGCTTGGGTTATTTTCTTACTGATACATAAATTCTCTCTTCTGTCTCTAATAAATTATTTTCTACTTTTGGCTTCCGTATTAGAGAATTTAATGCCTTTTAGAGCAGCCCATTACTTTTAAATGTCTCTTGTTAGAAATTTAGTCATTCATCTAATAATAGTATGGAGTGCTTACTATAGTCCAGACCCTGGGAGTGCAAAATTAAATAAGATACTATACATAAGAAATCAGTTTTAAAATATATTGAACCAGGGTGCCTGAGTGGCTGAGTCGGTTAAGCATCTGACTTCAGCTCAGGTCATGATCTCAGAGTCCTGGGATCAAGCCTGAGCCCTGCATCTGGCTCCCTGCTCAGTGGGGAGTCTGCTTGTCCCTCTCCCTCTGCACTTCCCCCTGCTTTGCTCTCTCTGTCTCTCAAATAAAATCTTTTTAAAAATAATAATATATCGGGGCGCCTGGGTGGCTCAGTCGGTTAAGCGACTGCCTTCGGCTCAGGTCATGATCCTGGAGTTCTGGGATCGAGTCCCGCATCAGGCTCCCTGCTCAGCAGGGAGTCTGCTTCTCCCTCTGCCCCTCCCCACTCTCATGTGCTCTCTCTCATTCTCTCTCTCTCAAATAAATAAATAAAAAATCAAAAAAAAAAAATAAAAAAAAAAAATAAATAAAAATAATAATATATATTGAACCAATGTAAACTACCCCAAAGCTTTTGGCCATTGATGCTGTTTTTGCTCTCTAGGGTCACATTAAACTAGCCTAATCCTTATACAGACCCTTAGATATTTGTAAATATGTGGCCATCCAAGTGTAGTGGAAAGTTACATGGAGGGCACACTCCAACAATGAAACCCCAAAAGGGGTAGTCACCTAAGGGAATAGATAAAGAGGCCTTTTATACCCAGATTTAAGTTGTATTTGATAAGTTCACGAGGCAATGGCACATAAAGATCAGGGCCAGGAGTGTTTTGCTCATATGACTGGGGTACATAGAAAAGCCCAGAAAGTTTGGGTAACCTGTCAGACTTCATGATACAAGTCTGTGCAAGCTCCTGGCATATGAGCCCACCAGTGAGCAATATCCACTGGACTGAGGGAAATTGAGGGAGCTGTATTAGCTGACACCAACCACCAGTATTTCTCCTGTGTCGACTTGCTGTTACCAAAAAAAATCTCTGGTGTATCTTTGCCAATTTTAAACAAAGTTTAGTTAACAGTTACATGTTTGAGTCCGATCACTGTAGACAGTCCTCTACATTCTTCCTTTCGATTGGTGGCATCAGTGGGATTATATAACAGTTTTGGATGTGAGACCAAGAAAATGGAAAGGATGAAGGTAACACAATGACCTGACACTTGCTGGCTACCAACTCCTGTTGGCTGTGAGAACTATGGCCAGCTCCTCAGTGAGATGTGGGAAAGGAATGCCTGATTTTAAAAATAATTTAATATAGCAAGCAGAGGGTCCCAGAGTTGTTGCTTCCAAACAGCATGGAGTCGGTTTAAAATGCTAGTGACAATTTAGGGTTGGATCATAAAACAAGTTGACTGGAGTTTGGGCAATTTATTTGGGAAGACATAGATGACCCTGACACATAATGTGAAAATTCCTGGGATCATTTGGGAATTGATGCCCTGTTCCCCTGGAGTAGAGCATGATCTGTAATCATCTAGGAGACTCACGATCCTGGTCAGCCTGACAAGATTAAAACTAAGTTCCTAGTATACACAGAAACCAAGTTGGTGTGGTATCAAATTAGATTTTGGCAGAAACCAAATGAAATTGTCAGAATCAGTGTTGCAGCTTGTAAATTCAGGAGCTCATTGTTACTTCAGGGAAAATTACATTTGGGTTAACTGCCAAAGTTATGCTTATTTAATGCTAACATTCCATCCCTGGTGTCAAGTGTGGGACCTGACACCCCAATGTATCAACTGATGTTTTACAATGTGTTCATTAGGCAATAGTCTGGAAGGGACAACTTCCTTTGGGAGGCACCCAAACATTTGGAACAGTCCAAGGGTATGGCCAGTTTTTATGAAAGACCCTAGATTGGCTTTGTGATTGCACCCTGAACAACCAGAAAGACCCTGGGGTCATGACCTGAGCCGTAGGCAGATGCTTAACGACTGAGCCACCCAGGTGCCCCTAAGCAGTTAATTTCTTACTTTGCTTTACCACGAAGGAAAAGATTAAGTATTACTTTAAAAAAAAATACTTGATATTTTTGGCAACCATTCTGCATTGCAGAAAAGATCCACACATTTGGAACATTTCCAGAACCCCCCAAAGACTCAAGGATTTGAAGCAGGTTACTTATCCCTCTTTCTAGCCAAAGATGGGAGGCTTATTCTCTGGACAAATCAAACCGAACAGATTAGAACTGGGACTTGGGGGAGAGTAGTGTGGCAATGAGGTGTTATACTGAAAACAAGAGATGGAGAGAATGTCAGTATTCTGAACATGAGCCTTCAGTCCCCTTCTCCACCTGGCTACAGAATCTGGCACTGAGTTTAAATACCCAGCCCTGCCCACCCCACCCAGAGAGATGAACAAGTATAAAAACAACTTGCCACTTGATTATTTGTTGCAATGAAACCCATAGTCCACAAGCCCTGCCCACTCGTACATGTCTTCCAGTCTCTGATAATCATGACACACTGATAGCCAAGGATCAATAGACATTTGAGAATAACTTCAACAATGAAACATGAAGACCAAAACAAAAGAACCAAAACAAATAAATGAACAAAAACCTGGAAATAATGCAAGGCACATAAAATACTCTCAGAAACAGGAGAATATACTGCATCCATGAAGTAAGAAGAGGATGCTAGAAAAAATGAACAATCAGATAATAAAAATATTGGAAAAATAGAGCTCGAATTAGACATTCAGTAGTTGTGTTAGAAGATAAGTTGGAGAAATTTCAATAAGTAGAACAGAAAGAGATGGGGAATAGGAAAGAACAGAAAAGAAAATTAGAAGATCAGGATGGGATACAACATCTGATTAGTAAGAGCTCCAAAATGAGAACAGAGAAAGGAGGTGAAAAGAGATAACAAAATTAAAGAACATTTCCCCAAAATGTAGGACCTGAGTCACATAAATTGAAAGGATCCACTGAGTGCCCAGCACAATGAAAACAGAAAAGCATAACATGATATTTCAGGATGACAGGATTAAAGAAAGTCCTAAAAGTTTCCAAAGGGGACGAAACAAGAGTTACATAAAATATTTTCATGGGGCACCTGTGTGGCTCAGTCAGTTGAGCATCCAACTCTGGATTTTTGTTCAGGTCATTATCTCAGGGTCCTGGGATCAAGCCCCACATTGGGCTCTGCCCTCAGTGGGGAGTCTGCTTAAGGATTCTTTCTCTCTCTCTTCCTCTGCCCCTCCCCCTGCTCTCTCTTTCTTAAGTAAATAAATAATCTCTAAAAAAAAATTTCACAATGGTATTTAGATTTCTTTCTTTTTTTTTTTAAAGATTTTATTTATTTATTTGAGAGAGAGAGAGAGCACAAGCAGGGGGAGAGGCAGAGGGAGAAGCAGACTCCCCCGCTGAGCAGGGATCCCCATGCAGGGCCCAATCCCTGAACCCTAGGATCATGACCTGAGCTGAAGGCAGCGGCTTAACCAAGTGAGCTACCCAGGCACCCCTGGTATTTAGATTTCTAGGTAGCAACACTGGTTGAAGGAAGACTATGAAAGCAAAGACTTCAAATATAAGAGGAAAATTTATTTCCAATGTAGAATTCTGTACCCCAACAATCCAATCAAGTATGGGGCTAAAATAAAGTTTAGACTTGCATAGTCTCAAAATTTTATCTTACCATGTACCCTTTCTTAGGAGGCTCCTGGAGAATGTGCTTCATCAAAACAAAGGAGTAAATCTAAATAAGAAGGCTTGGGATCCTGAAAACAAGACCTCACTAAGGAATGCAATGAAGGAAAGTGCTGGGATGGCTACCATGTCAAGTAAGTAGGATGGGGGTTTTGGGAAGTAGGTCTCTAGGAAACTGGGAACAAAGTGAGTGCATGGAAAATGCAGAAAGGAGTGAGACAGATGTTGGAATATTGGGGAAAATCAAAAGGATGAGTACATGGGATACTAGGTTAATGTTAAAATGAGGCAATTAGAAGTACACCAAATATACATTTTTGGATTTTGGATGATGGACACATTCTGGAGTGTCACTGTGTCACAAATATAAATCTCAAATTTTATTTCAGTTTTATTTTATTTCATTAGTTATTTTATTAC